TTGTACTCCTCACCTGGTTGCTGCCACACAGGCTTGATACCACCTGAACCAAATTAGTTTATCTTGGTCTTATCGGACCACAGGACATGTTTCCAGTAATCCATGTCCTTAGTTTGCTTGTCTTCAGAAAACTGTTTGCTGGTTTTTTTGTGCATCATCTTTAGAAGAGGCTTCCTTCAGAAGAGAAAATAGCACAGTCAGTAAAAAAGGGGGATAAAACATTTTTTAGATACATAAATGAGAAAACAAAAGTACAACAAGGATTAGTTAGATTAAAAACAAAAGAAGGAAGGTATGTAGAAGAGGATAAAGGTCAGGCTGACTGCTTCAATGAATATTTTTTTCTGTATTTACAGAAGAAAATGAAGGAAAGGGACCTCAGTTGAGAAAAAGGATAAATGAGTCATTTATTACACGTGAGTTTACAGAGGAAGAGGTTCTATTTCAACTGTCAAAAGTAAAGACAAATAAGTCAATGGGACCTGATGGAATACACCCAAAGCTATTAAAAGAGCTTAGTGGTGTACTAGCAAAACCATTAACAGATTTATTTAACCAATCATTGTTAACAGGAGTAGTCCCAGAAGATTGGAAGTTAGCGAATGTTGTGCCCATTTACAAGAAAGGTAATAGGGAGGAGTCGGGCAACTATAGGCCAGTAAGCCTTACTTCAGTAGTGGGGAAAGTGATGGAAACCATGTTAAAGGATAGGATTGATGAACATCTAAAACACATGGATTTCAAGATCAGAGACAACATGGGTTTACTTCAGGGAGATCATGCCAAACTAATCTTATTGATTTTTTTGATTGGGTAACTAAAATTATAGATCAGGGTGGTGCAGTAGACATTGCTTAACTAGATTTCAGTAAGGCTTTTGACACTGTTGCACATAGAAGGCTTATCAATAAACTGCAATCTTTAAGTTTGGATTGAAATATTGTTGAATGGGTAAGGCATTGGCTGAGTGACAGGCAACAGAGGGTTGTAGTTAATGGAATATATTCGAAGCTTGGACTTGTCACCAGTGGGGTACCTCAGGGATCTGTACTTGGACCCATTCTCTTTAATATTTTTATTAGTGATATTGCAGAAGGTCTTGATGGTAAGGTATGTCTTTTTGCTGATGATACTAAGATATGTAACAGGGTTGATGTTCCAGGAGGGATAAGCCAAATGACAAATGATTTAGGTAAACTAGAAAAATGGTCAGAATTGTGGCAACTGACATTTAATGTGGATAAGTGCAAGATAATGCATCTTGGACGTAAAAACCCAAGGGCAGAGTACAGAATATTTGATAGAGTCCTAACCTCAACATATGAGGAAAAGGATTTAGGGGTGATTATTTCTGATGACTTAAAGGTAGGCAGACAATGTAATAGAGCAGCAGGAAATGCTAGCAGAATGCTTGGTTGTATAGGGAGAGGTATTAGCAGTAGAAAGAGGGAAGTGCTCATACCATTGTACAGAACACTGGTGAGACCTCACTTGGAGTATTGTACACAGTACTGGAGACCGTATCTTCAGAAGGATATTGATACCTTAGAGAGGGTTCAGAGAAGGGCTACTAAACTGGTTCATGGATTGCGGGATAAAACTTACCAGGAAAGGTTAAAGGATCTTAACATGTATAGCTTGGAGGAAAGACGAGACAGGGGGGATATGATAGAAACATTTAAATATATAAAGGGAATCAACACAGTAAAGGAGGAGACTATATTTAAAAGAAGAAAAACTACCACAACAAGAGGACATAGTCTTAAATTAGAGGGACAAAGATTTAAAAATAATATCAGGAAGTATTACTTTACTGAGAGGGTAGTGGATGCATGGAATAGCCTTCCAGCTGAAGTGGTAGAGGTTAACACAGTAAAGGAGTTTAAGCATGCGTGGGATAGGCATAAGGCTATCCTAACTATAAGATAAGACTAGGGACTAATGAAAGTATTTAGAAAATTGGGCAGACTAGATGGGCCGAATGGTTCTTATCTGCCGTCACATTCTATGTTTCTATGTTTCTTCTGGGACGGCAGCCATGCAGACCAATTTAATGCAGTGTGCAGCGTATGGTCTGAGCAATGACAGGCTGACCCCCCACCCCTTCAACCTCTGCAGCAATGCTGGCAGCACTCATACGTCTATTTCCCAAAGATAACCTCTGGATAGGACGCTGAGCACAAGCACTCACCTTCTTTGGTCGACCATGACGAGGCCTGTTCTGAGTGGAACCTGTCTTGTGATACCGCTGTATGGTCTTGCCCACCATGCTGCAGCTCAGTTTCAGGGTCTTGGCAATCTTCTTATATCCTAGGCCATCTTTATGTAGAGGAACAATTCTTTTTTTCAGACCCTGATGGAGTTCTTTGCCATGAGGTGCCATGTTAAACTTCCGGTGACCATTATGAGAGCGTGTGAGAGCGATAACACCAAATTTAAGACACCTGCTCCCCATTCACACCTAAGACTTTGTAACACGAACGAGTCACATGACATCGGGGAGGGAAAATGGCTAATTGGGCCCAATTTAGACATTTCCACTTAGGGGTGTACTCACTTTTGTTGCCAACGGATTAGACATTAATGGCTGTGTGTTGAGTTATTTTGAGGGGACAGAAAATTTACACTGTTATACAGGCTGTACACTTACTACTTTACATTGTAGCAGAGTGTCATTTCTTCAGTGTTGTCACATGAAAAGATATAATAAAATATTTACAAAAATGTGAGGCGTGCAGGCCCGGACTGGCCATCGGGCACACCAGGCAAATGCCCGGTGGGCCGCGGTGGCCATGGGCCGAGGCCGGCAGGGGAGGTTACAGGACATCCCCTGCCGGTCTATGCAGGGCTGGCACTATCCGAACGCCGGCCCCGCTGTGTGCCTTTATGGGCCGGTGAGATCATCAAAGCTCTCCCTCACCGGCCCACTTGGACAGACATGCAGCTGGGGAGGGAGAGAGGAGGACCCGGCGGAGCTCTATCTTGCAGCTCCACCTGGTTCCTCTCGCGAGATCCGGTCGTTGCCATGGCAACACCCCCGATCTCGCGAGAGTGAACTCTAGCCCAGAGGCTAGAGTTCACTCACCACTGGACCACCAGGGATGGTGTGTGAGTGCGAGTGCCGCCCCCCCTCTCCCTCTCTTCCAGGAGATTTAATGCCTGCTTAATTTTATTTTTATTTTTTATCCCTCTAAACAAACAATCCCTTCTAATATACACAGCACTCTCACACCCATCACACACAGAACTCTCACACATAGCACTCTCACACCCATCACACATCACTCTCACACCCATCACACACAGCACTCTCACACCCATCACCACCAGGGATGGTGTGTGAGTGCAAGTGCCGCCCTCCTCTCCCTCTCTTCCAGGGGATTTAATGCCTGCTTAATTTGTTTAAAAAATTTTATCCCACTAAACACACAATCCCTTCTAATATTCACACACACAGCACTCTTACACCCATAAGACATAGCACTCTCACACCCATCACATCACACACAGCACTCTCACACCCATCACTCACACATAGCACTCTCACAACCATCACACACAGCACTCTCACACACATCATAAACAGCACCCTCACACACAGCACACACACACATCACACACAGCCCCCACACATCACACACTGCACCCCTCAAACACAGCATCCATTGCTTGTCATTGGTGATGACTAAACACACCCTCTCTGCCCCGCCCCCTTCTTAGTGGGCCGCTGTGATAAAAAAATGCCCGGCCTAATTTTTCACCCAGTCCGGCCCTGGAGGGGTGTGTTCACTTTTGTGAGATACTGTATACCAAACTTCTCAGACCCTCTGTGAAATATTGCAAGATAAAAGAAATTCTAAAGTGTTTCATGTTAAAAAAAAAAATTATTTTATAAAAACTGAATGAATAATTAAAATAATTAAAAAAATAAAAAATTGTGTAAATTGACATCATTTGAATTTTTAAGTTTGTCTGAAAAGCAATCTACATGCAGAAAGTGTTATGCTATGTTTATATGCCAGCTATGCATCCCTTGCCTCAAATACATTACATGTTAATATAGTTTCAATGAAAAAGTGCTTAGCAGTGAAGGGGTTAACCTTAGACTGTCAGAATGCGCGTCAGCTGACTCCCAGGAAGTTGTTGTGTTTTTGTAATTCTAATGCACAATCGCACACAATAGGGGAGTTTATAAATGGCTGAACCGCCAGAGGTTAAGTTAAAGGAAACCTTGTACTCTCTGTGTTTTCATAATAATTATCATCAAAGTAAATTATATACTTTGATTTGCAAGGTAATGGTTTGACAGTGCAGGTGTACGTTGCTCCATGCTGCTCTTGCCAGTCTCGCTTTGAAACTGTATATACTCTCGGCTTGAGGTCATTAATGAGATGCTGGTCGCCATAATGCATGACCTGCAACTTAAACGATCCAGTGCAGATGATACTTAATGGAGGGAACAACAGCGCCACATAGTGGTTACATATGTTAATACATTCAATGCCAATGGTCTTTCGATGTGGTTGTTCACTATAGTATGAATTGTTGAGAATTCTAAGTGAATTTCAAATTTTAGACCATATTTGCTGAATGGGAAACATACGTGACCTAAAATTCACTTTTAATTCCAGACAAGTCACAATGTAGTAACTCCACCCTTGGTGAAAGGGAATCCTTATTCAAAGAGGAATGCCATATTAAATGTATTGGTGAGCACATAGATTTTATTCTGGAGTACACGGTTGCTAAATATTACAGGTGACTAAATTATTTGTCTCCAAGAAAATAAGGTGAAATTCACAGCTCTACACAAGAGCGATTGCACTCTCAGATCCACAATCCCTTAAAACACGTGGGGAACACCATTAACACCAGGGGCCCTGCAAATTGAATACTCAGGGCCCAAGTCCATCATAGGTTGCTCACGACCTCACTCAATGACAATGCCCGTTTTCCTTTTTAAAATCTGATGTTACTACGAGAAACGTGACAAAAAGACATTTAGGAAAATAGGATTTATTTACATGTGCAAATTAAATAGAAACAAGAATGAACATGGTTTATAATTTTTAAACAATTCCTATATCAATTAAACCAAACGGCCCTATGCTGTCATACATAAAGAGTTATAGAATATCCCCATTCTAACAAGTTATGGATTTAAAAAAAACATTTAAACTACTTTAGTTAATATGTATCAAACAATAGATATCCAATGAAATATCTGCTGAACATTAACAGGTTTGTGAATTCAAAATTAAAATGTAAATTTTAGCAGAGCTGTGACTATAGCAAAGTCGGAAAATTATTCCAAATGAGCTATTTTGTTAGCATTTTACAGTTTAGCTTTCAATTCATTCCAATTTGGGGTTTAGTAAATAAGCCCTTATGAATAGATTATCTCTTCATGGCTTCTCTTATGTGGATAATGGTCATTATTTATACAGCACCAACATATTCCGCAACGCTGTACAAAGTAGAACTAAATACACTGTGACAAAACAACGTGGGTCGGGATCTGATCTAAAAAGCTAAAAATCCAGAGGACACTCAGTCATATAAATCTAGATAGTGACAGAGGCTCATCACATTGCAAACCATTTGGCACGCGCATGTATATCTTGGATATAGTGGTAGTGTATTATTTTATTTTTTGTAATTAATGTGTATTTTTAAATATTATGATTCTAATGCTGCCTGTAAGTAGAGGGAAAACAAATGCAAAATCCAGTGGCAATTAAGTTCAAAATAATAATATTATTATTAAAGGGGCTGAATCTCCCCGTCCATTTTTTCCCCATGAGGTTACTGTTATTACCTGTATAGGTATGAAAAATAGTGTCTGGAATTTTTTGAATAGGTCAGTGAGACCCTTATTGTAGTAACAACAGCTTGAGTTCTATTATAATATTTCAGAGCTTTGGGCTGATCCTTGGAAAAATCATCTAGTATTTTCTAAACACATTTGCCCCTTTCTAATACATACCTTGAAAAGAGAAGGGGAGAACTCTCTGTCTCATGTCAAGAAAAAGTATGTTAATACTCCGAATAGCATACAGACAGGGCAGAACTGGGCCCCTTATGTGGCACACAAAGACATAAGACTCATCAGAGACAGAGTATTAGTAACAGTCCCTTTTTATCTGGCGTGTACACATCTTGCTGCAGATGTACGCAGTTCTGCATAAGTATACTGTATTCACATTCTTCTATATCCATATGCACTGCTCAGATATTTACATTCACACGGTCTTGTATCCCAAAATGTTGCACCCATATAATGCCTTTTTTGACCTTTCCTGGAATATGATGGTATCCGCTCAAAGCTTTGGAGCATCTTTTGGTTTCGCATAGAGTGGCAGGATATCCTGAAAGTCTTTTGCCATCCCACGCACGAGGTCAAAGTGGGGATTCACATTCTCTTCCATCCATTCCTCCACTGTATCGGGGAAGTAGATAGACTCCAGCTGGGTGCGCAGGGCTTGAATAAGATTTTCCCAGTCTTCGTGGATCCTAGGAAAGATGGACAGCAATGATTACTCTAGAGTTTTTTAGATTAGATGAATATGCCTCACTGAAGTAGTAGTAGCTGGTGGTTATTTCTGATGACTTAAAGGTAGGTAGACAATGTAATAGAGCAGCAGGAAATGCTAGCAGAATGCTTGGTTGTATAGGGAGAGGTATTAGCAGTAGAAAGAGGGAAGTGCTCATGCCATTGTACAGAACACTGGTGAGACCTCACTTGGAGTATTGTACACAGTACTGGAGACCGTATCTTCAGAAGGATATTGATACCTTAGAGAGGGTTCAGAGAAGGGCTACTAAACTGGTTCATGGATTGCGGGATAAAACTTACCAGGAAAGGTTAAAAAATCTTAACATGTATAGCTTGGAGGAAAGACGAGACAGGGGGAATATGATAGAAACATTTTAATATATAAAAGGAATCAACACAGTAAAGGAGCAGACTATATTTAAAAGAAGAAAAGCTACCACAACAAGAGGACATAGTCTTAAATTAGAGGGACAAAGGTTTAAAAATAATATCAGGAAGTATTACTTTACTGAGAGGGTAGTGGATGCATGGAATAGCCTTCCAGCTGAAGTGGTAGAGGTTAACACAGTAAAGGAGTTTAAGCATGCGTGGGATAGGCATAAGGCTATCCTAACTATAAGATAAGGCTAGGGACTAATGAAAGAATTTAGAAAATTGGGCAGACTAGATGGGCTGAATGGTTCTTATCGGCCATCACATTCTATGTTTCTAGCTGTGAAACAGCAGAGTTCACCTCAGAACAAAAGGCAGAACTGCTAAATAATATGCTGTTGTATTTGGCTCTGCACGTCAATGAAAATTGCATTCTGGAATATATTAACAAAGAAATAGGATTGGCTGGAACAGCTCAGCCAATTACACCACTTTAATTCAGAGTAATGATGATGCAAAGAATATAAAACCATCTCCAGAGTGGTCCCTATTGCACAATGCTATGGCAGTGAGGGAGGTTTTTTTTGTGGGGGGGTGGGGACTGACTTTAAGGTTAATCTAAGCAACAGATTTATATAATTTTCATATTTTATGGAAGATCCTTCTAATGTTCATATAGTAAGAGTATCAGGGTAAAATAATCCTGACATTCCCCAATTTCGGTGGATTATCGTTGGTCTGTGCACCTCCCTGGCACTGTGCTTCTGTAGGTTTAGTAGTGGGCATTCCCCTGGCACGTATACATTATGACACAGAGGAATGGGGGAGATACAGGATATGGGCGAACGAAAGGCAGAATTATATAGAGGAGGGCAGAATCTCTCCTAGGTCGGAGTCGCCTCTCAAACTCTGAACGTAGTGAGCGGTTTGTAGACTTTGTTAAATCAAAACGTTTCCAATCCAACAGGAAAATAATAAGGTACATGACTGGCAGCTGTGCTCCATTATATTAGCACTCATCAACGCATACACGGGATAAGGTAATATGTTGATCTTCCTGTCGGTGCTGCTGGTTATTTAGAGAACAAAAGGATATAATAGATTTATGTCAGTAAACAGTGCAGCCAATGGTAGGTGGAATCTCTGTCCTGCTAATCTCCTATTGGCGAGAAGATTTGGACCAGTGGCTTATACTTACAAACTTTATTCCACGCAGACAGACATAAAAAGAAGATTGCAAGAAACCTGTTAGAAGACAAACATTTAACAAAACAAAAACACACGTCACTCACTTAGTCAACTTTGCACTGAATGTCTCCATCTTGTGTGGATTTCCAAACTTGTGTTTTCGATGGTAAGGTGAAAACCAGCCCCTGATCAAACTGTGCAAGGAAATGAAAAACACAAGGTAAGTACTAAATCCATCACTACTAGCCAGCTGCCTATAAACTTTACCTCTACAAAAATGTGTCAAAGCAGGCAAAGGAAATCAGAAAAGCGAACATTCCCAAACATATACAGCTATACATTTACAAGGAATTTAGCACAATGTATAGATAAAATTATAATCACACAGTAAATTAATTAAAAGCTAATTGGGTTATAAGTGTAGGAAGAATAGGGTTTCACTTATTTTTTTTTATTTTTTTTTAGTTATTGGGAGCCCTATACCCAGTCTCTGGATCCCCATCACAAGACTCTTATTCACAAAACCTTTCAATTCATTGACTAGAACTCTTTGCAAATCCTTCGCGGGAGATCTCCCCTTTGAATAGTTACCCCCTTTTATTTGCTTACGGGAAAATACTTATTACAATAGTTATTTGATACTGACCACGTCATGTTTAATTAGGATGCGAATTGTGATTGCTTGTATCTTATAAGTGGCTTAAATTACACATACTTATTAGTGTGACCCTGACGTTCATCATATCCTTTTCTTTCATTTAAAATAATAAAATGCTTTTTTTTTTTTTTTAAATACGTTATTAACTTGCTTATAATTAATGTTTGCCCTTTTAACTGTCACTGAACATCTATATGTTTGAGGAAGAAAGAGGAACTTAATTGTGATCTCTCTCCCCTAACATTCTGTAAGCCTGTCACGGAGGTATTCAGGCTAATTATTGCAGCATTTTAAGCACTCCATGTATGTTGGAGGAGGACGGGTGGCTGATGGGTAGGTTTCTGCTATCCCCTCGGATCTTTAAACTGTTTAACGTCACTCATGATGGCCACAGATACCTATCATTCAGTCAGTTACGATAAGCTGCTATTTTCAAACAGCACTGGGACCCTTCATAGGCAGTGGAATGGATTAAAAACACACCAGGGTGAAGTTTACTCTTGTCAGTAGTTGGTGGGCGATTGGAAATTCTAAACCATGTTTATAGTGCAATCACATGAAGCATATTGGCATTAAGAGAAATCTGACAACGACAACAATGAGCATCTGACAAGAAGGACAAAGAGTTTGTGATTCATGTATATTTCCCGGGCCAATTGTGCTTATAAATAATTTAAAAAAATAATTAGTGATTAATTAAACTAATTAGTAATTACTAAGACCTTTCGACCAGTAATTCTCACGTATAACCTCAAACTAGCCCAGGGTTTAAAGATTTATTAAAATCTAGTCCTTTAAAGACTATCAAACAAGTAATGATTTTAAAAAGCCCAAGTGTGCTTTTGTTACACACCATCTATGGAGCTACACGCAACACAGGAAGAGGCATGTTACTCACTCATTTCCATCCGTGAGTTCCCGGACATTATGTTTCAATTCATTATGGATTTTTTGTACCATGTTGTAAATATCAGATCCAGGGAACGCACCATTCCCTTCACTACACAAAAACAAAAACATGATAAGAATTAGAAGATTCATCAAATCCATCAAAAATGTATCCACACAATGAATGTATGGTTATCTAAATTCTACTGTGCATCCCAGGTCCCATTACTACTCAAAACAAATACACAGCTGAGCACCCTTACATGGTCCGCCTCTATCCAGCTCTGCTTGGCATCTTCAGCTGACCCTATTACTGAAGCCTTTAAGCAGATCTGTCACTTTAGGAGGCGTTTGCATATTTTGACATCTCCGGTACGGTACGGGTCGAGTGGCGGTAAGGTGCAATGGAATGTAGGTTTACTTACCTGAAGCTGCCCATCACGGTCACAGTCTTCTTCTTACAGACGTTCTGTGGCTCCAGGCACTCCATCTTCAAGGAGCCTCATCAGTGTTATAATCTTACACACTGAGGGAGAATCCATAGATGATTTCTTGCAATGGGTAAGGTGATCCCTGAATCCCACAGCCATCACTTGATGACATGATGAGGATTGGAGAAAGGCTGACAGTGGGGCAATGCCTTTTGCAAACCTCAGGCTTGCCCATAAAACAAAGTAATCTCAACTCTGTTATGTGGTATTTTTGGAATATTTATGAAATACACATGCTGACTGCGTTGGAATTTTATTGAAATTCACACATTCATTGTGCAGCCAGCATAAAGATGATAGCACTGTGAAATTCTCAGAAAAGGCAGAACTGCATTAACCCCTTCACTACTGAGCATGTTTTTTTATTAAAAAGAATATTAGCGTAACGCTTATCTGAAGCAATGGATACATAGCTTGCGTATAGCAATTTTGTGTATAGCTAATTTACATTACTTTTCTTTTTCACTTATTCGTTTATTTTTCATAAAAATATTTGGGAAATGAAAAGGTTTAGACAGTATACAGCAAGGGTTCCAAAAGCTTTCAGATTCAAGGCGCTTTCAAGCACAATTCAATATATTTTTCCAAGGTGCCCCAAGTCAAAACAATTTTCTAGGTTGTAGATCTGTACAGTGCTGCGGCATATACTGGGCCCCTAATCTCGGGAGGGGCACTGGTAGATTATTTAAAGAAACAATCCAGGCACAATAACCACTACATTACGTTGTAGTGGTTATGGTGCCAGTAGTGCCGTAGTGCCCTCCCAGGGTAAGTAGTCAAACTGTTTAATAACAGTTTGACTACTTACCTTGGGTCTGCCAGGATAGGGGCTTTAGTGTGTGTGTATCCTGGCAGGGGAGCAGTGTGCATGTGTGTACAAGGGTGCAGTGTGCGTGTGTGTGTACAGGGGTGCATTGTGTTTGTGAAGGATGTAATTTGTGTGTGTGTGTGAGGGGTGCATTGTGTGTGGTGCAGCTTGTGCATAAGGGGTACAGTGTGTGTGAGGGGTGGCAGGTTATGTGAGGGGCAGTGTGTATGTATGGGGGGCAGTGTGTGATTATGGGGGAGCTATTGTGTGGTGTGGGATCTGTGGGGGGTAGGAGGGCAAATTAATATATACTTTATTTTTTTTAAATTAAAAATAAGAATGATGTCCCCCCTCCTACTTACCTTTGCCTGGGAGGGGGGACGTTTCCTGCAATCCCGTGTGGTCCGGTGGGGAAGTCCTGGTGGTCCCAGTGGTGAGAGTGAACTCTAGCAGCCTCAGGACCACCAGGACTTCCCTCAGGAGCTGTTTGGAGTTCACTCCAGATTTGGATTTGGTAACCGCGGCAACGCTCCCAGCTCGTGAGAGGAGAACCTGTTGCGGAGCAATAGGATAGAGTTCCCCCGAGTCCTCTCTTCCTCCCTCCCTGCCGGCTGTCAGCAAAGTGCTAGCGGGCCATAATGGGAGATCTCTGATCTCCCCTCTGGTCCTGCAGAGCCGGCAGGGGAGAGCACAGTTCCCGGTGCTTATCATCATAGCACCTGAAAAATAACTCAAGGCTCCCCAGGGCACCGCGGCACACAGTTTGGGAACCGCTGGTATACAGTGTCCTTTACCTTGCAATATTTCACACAGTGTCTGAAATGTTAGTATAAACGCAAAAATGCTATTTTTCTCACATACAGTAGGTGTAACAAAATTAAGTGAATAAAAATGATTAAATACTTCGCTTACATGCATTTGTAAGGACCCTGAAGGCATGACTAGAAGTACAATGTACTAAAAATTGTACCCGAATGTAAAATGATTGCCTGCACTAAGCATAATCCCAGCATACAGTAAATACAGTTAAGTCATAAATCTAAATTAAAAGGTATTTCAAATTGCTATAGCAATCTTTATTACTAATGTAATGCTGACAGTGAAATGGTAGAGTCCATTCACTCCTCCCCCTCCGTGACTGTATGAAAGCAATGACTCAGTAAAACTTCCTGTACTGTTTGGAAGCAGGGTTAATTATATCAGTAACTAATGGCTTTTGGCAGAGAATCTCATTCCTCTACACACCAGTAATCATAACTATAGTATAAATAAGGGTGAATGAAGCTATTTTGGTATAAGGGTTTAAGGCTAGTGTAATTTATATTTTTCAGATTTCATTTTTTTTTTTTTAAATGTTTTTACTAGTAGTTATACAAAAAAACATGTGTTAGCTACTTTTTGTGCCAGAGTCAAAATGATGCCCATGCTAGTTTTGAGTTTTTAAGATGTACCTCACCATTAAAGGATCGCCCCTCAACATTACTCACCATATGTTCGTCTCAACATTGATAGTATTGAATCCCAGCATGCTAGTGATCTCTTTTTTGGCCTCTTCATTGAATTCACCTGTATGGAAGAAGAGACATGAGATGAAGCACCTATTCTGGGATATGAGGGTAAATTAGATATTTAGCAGAGATACCCACCACGCTGAAGGATCTGCAAGCACACAGCTAGGGACGGGATGCCTACAGGCAAAAGTTCACACAGAACCGAGTAATGATCATATCTAAAGGATAAAACAGAAAAATAGCATTCGGTTTCCATAACTGCACCTAATTTTCAAGCTGTGTGGTAGGATCTGCTATGTAGCAAGGGAGGTTTGATGGTTTTTAATTCATCTTAAAAACAGTAAAGCTTTTTTTTCCTCATTAAATCAATTTCTGTTGAAACTGTGATGCAATTCTAGATGGTAGATGGCCCATACCCAGCAAAAATACAAATACGTAAAGAGACACTGCGGACCTCTACAGCACTTTAACTTGCTGTAGTGCTGTATGTGTAAAGAGTGTCCTCTTTTTCATTTTAGAACAATTGCATATTTCAATAGAAATTGTCACTTTTATAAATTAACCTGGTTACACCTCCCTGGCTGTCAATCAGGCAACCGGTCCTATTACTTCCTGGCTTGGTTAGCTCAGGGGAGCTAAAATCAAGAGGCAGCAATTGCCCAGAGGTTTGATGAATTCTGTAGCCTTTTACCACAATGGTGATCTTATCATGTTCAGCCCCTAGACCATCTCATCAAGTTCCCTTGTTTGATCTTTTGAGATCGTTTGATCTCATCTATCTATTTGATTTTTTAGTTTTTTTTAGGTAACTACATGGAGTTTACTCAGTGGAGCGCATAATAATTCCAACACAACAATTCTCCATCTCCTTTGCAGCTAAGAACTTCTGTGCAATGTGGGAAGTATAGTTACCCAACTTTTCTAGTAGCAAGGTAAATGATCACTGCCCTGTACAGTGTGTTTAATCTAAGCAGACAGGTTTTCTCTGTAGGCCCAGGGATCTATACCAATTCTTTTTTAGTAGTTTTCTTCTTTTTTTTTAGCTCATCTTACCAGAAAGACTACATTGACATTTTCACATGTCCCAGAGATAAAAAAATAAAATATATATATGTAAAAAATACATATATATAATTTTATCTGTTTTTTACATCTACATCACTGGACTAATACGGCTACAATCTCTCTCTCTCTCTAATATATATATACATACACTCACACACACACACAAAAAGAAAATGATTCCCTCTCTGGTTTTCTACAGTTAGTATATTACACGGTTGGGATTAGTTGTGCGGACATCCAATGTCATGTATGCATATTTTCTATTGAGAAAATGTCAAGACGGTTGTTCTTATCTTGAGTAGTGTGTTTGTATTAAGCTGTGCCCATAACAATGTCACTGGAGGTATGCAAAGAATGACAATAAGTGCTACGTTTGGTTTTCTCGAAAATTAGGTGTATGTGTATAAAGGTGAAAGAGCCTGCGAGAATGAATTTGTTTATAAAAGGTTAAAAAGGACATTCTACTGCTGAAATCAAATTAAAATAAAAACAAAAAAAATCATTGGGGGTATATTTAAGAACAGTTTGCAATAGATGCAGATCTCTTGTCTGCTGCCTTTGTAAGCCCTCCCCTTCTAACCCCATCCAGACTTTCTGTGTCTGTCCACAGTCCACTCAGTTAAGCAAACTGTCTAGTTGCCCACAGAGTGCAGCATTGCTTTTCCCCAACAACGCAATATAGTGGTTATAGTGCAAAGATTTAGTGAATGCAGCCCTACTTTTTTTTCCTGTCAGAAAATTTGCAAGTGTTTTGAGAAATAACAGGGCTCTGCCATGCCCCAAGAGAATGCCCCAAGTCCTTGACCCCATTGATAATGCGGAACTTATACTTCTGAATTATCATTGTCAATGCCGTCCGTTAGTAATAGGGCAGTTTTGAAGGCCTGTTCCCGGTGATTAGCATCTCGCTTACCTTTGCCATCCAGTTAACGCGATGCCCGCATAGCGGATTTTGGGGAATTTGGAAGGCATGGTGTCTATAATTTGCTTCCACTGTATGTGGTTCTTTGCGTGCATATTAATGGGTGTCAACAGTTTGTCTACTCCTGATGCTCCTTTGAAAGCGCTTGCAAACCAGATGGATTTGAACCCAATTTCCTGATATTTGCTTATATGGGATTCTGTAAAAGAAGGAACAATGGGGTTATAAAAGGTATCCAAACTCCTATGTTTTTTAAAGCATTGCAGAGACTTGCTAAGCACTATAACTACAATAGCCTATTTTAGTAGGTGGAAAGGAGTGTTTTCAAGCAGTTTCACAGAAGCTGCATCTGTCCCAATACCCAAGTTCTGGTATCCAGCTCTCCTCCATTAAACAAATATGTACACTAACTTTTGCGTCACTTAGTCATACATTACTCAGAGTGATAAGTGAAAGAGGCTTAAGGGTAAGTCCCCCATCCACTGCCCTTCTCCCCCCCACCACCAGTGTCTGCAGCCCACCCTAATTTGCAAGCTGAAATAAGCAGGTCCCAAATTTTGCAATACAATTTCACAAACAAAACTCTCAAAGGGAAACCTGCCAGACATTTCTGTACTCACTGCATTGCATCTAAATGGACACAATTTATTGCAGATATTACTGCAGTACAACTAATCAAGTTTACAAAATTTAGAGCAAAAATTATTATTATTTTTTTACACATGTGTTATCAAATATAATTAAAAAAAAAAAAACCTTAAGCTAAAAGATTGGAAGAGACTAACAAAATGAAAAAGATTTAGCTTTGGAAATAAATGGACACCTTTTGGTGTATAAAAGGATACAGTATTACCAGTGGAACACATGCATAAAGAAATAAAACAAGAGATTCTCATACACCTTAGTGAGTACCCTTCGCCCTCACATCAAACAGAGTTTACATACAATATAGGGTGGAGTATCTTCTTGTTAAAAGCAAATATTGGTATTGCCTAGAGATAAAACAGATAAAGACACATAATAGTGAAATATTGTCTAAGTCTCAAATAGAATGTAAGGAGGTATGTGAAAATACACTCACAAAACAAGAGCCTATAAAATAAGGCTCAATCTTCCAGCGTTGTGGGATTAAGGATCCCACTACCTTCTTTATACTGCCAGGAGGTGGTGAGTAATTCAATGTCCTCTCGCAGGTGAGTATAAATAGTTAAAGTGCTTTATTAATAAAGTGCACAAATAAAGTAAAAAACAAGACCTTACAATTGAAGGTGACCTTGTCGAGAGAGTCTCTGGTTGCAAAACGCGTTTCGCCTCGTGTAGAGGCTTCCTCAGTTGCTCTAGCTGCTTGTTATAAATGTTCTGTATTTGTAGCTTGTATTTCGCGCCCTTTTTCCTTGATCGCGGCACTTTCGCTTCCGAGTTCCATCGGTGGAACGCATTAGTTCGATCACTTCTGGTTTTGGCATTTGCGGTCCATCGGTGGAACGCATGCGTCCTTATTCCGGTTCTCGTGCATTGGGACGTATCTATGCGTTCCACTTTGCTTAGCTGGTTAAAAGCAGTCCATTTTACACATAAGATCATTGATATTTAATAAGAATGGCTCACAAAATAAAGAATAAAAGAGAAGCAAGGTTAATGTAAAAATACAAATAAGATGTAAAAACAGCTCTACTTTATAGGAGAGACTTCTTACATAAACAATGAAGACAATATCAGGAAAAACATCATAAATTATTTATATAAATCCTATTCCCTCATGGAAAAGAAACAGTAAAAAGTGAATAAATATGAGATGATGATATATAAAACATAAGGTGCAGAAGAGTAAGACAACCCCTGAATGAAATCATAAAATGAGATAATAAAATATATTTCATAATATATTATAAAAATCTGGGTGCATAAAAAGTGGCAAACCTCAAAAATTAAAATTATAAAAATCTGAATGCATTAAAAATGGCAGACCTCAAAATCTAAATTTAGGCCATAAGGAATAAGGGTTTTAAAAGTATATATAAATTTCATTTCCTCTTTTCCTAATATTTTAATGGAATTACTTCCTCTCCAATCTCGTTTCACTTCTTTGATTGCACAAAAGAATAGATTCTCTGGGTTTTGGTTGTGGGCATCTTTAAAATGTTGGGATACACTGTGAGTTTCCAAACCATTTCTGATGTTACAAATGTGTTCAGCAATTCTGATTTTTAAGGGTCTGATGGTTCTCCCTACATAGAGCAGATTGCAAGGGCATTTTAAAATGTATATAATACCCTTAGAATGGCACGTGAGGTGATCTTTAATGGTATATGGTTTCTGAATAATACTTTCTAGGTCTTCGAGATGTCTTTTTGTTTTTTTAGTTGTTCTGCATGGGAGACATGTACCACAATCATAAAATCCTTTGAGATCCTGAATAAAGTGCTTAGGTTTTGTGGGGTTTAAATTACTTTTAACTAAAATGTTTTTAAAGTTCTTGGCTCCTCTATATGTGATTCTAGGTTTTGTAGGTAAAAATTTGAATAAAATTGGGTCATATTTTAATAGATGCCAATGTTTGTTTATAGTCTTATATATACGTTTATTATGCCCGTTAAAATCACAAATAAAAGGAACTTCATTAGTGTCAATTTGTGTTTTCTTTGGTTTGTATTGGATAAGTTGGTTTCTTTTTAATTTTCCTACCTCTTCTAAATCTTGATTTAAAGATGTTTCATTATATCCCTTTTCCATAAACTGCTGTTTAATATAAGTAGCCTGTTCTAAATAATCGCTATCTAATTTGCAGTTACGGCGGATCCTTAAAAATTGGCTCTTAGGAGCGTTATGGAGCCAAGGTTTATGGTGGCAGCTGTTGATGTCAATGTAACTATTAGCATCCACTAGTTTAAAATGATTGCTAGTGACTATCGTGGTGTCTTGAATCCTGATATCAAGATCTAAAAAGTTTATATTGGATTCGCTATAGTTGCTGGTTAGATTGATTCCATAATCATTGGTGTTGAGGTGTACAATGAATGCCTTTAGAGCCTCTGTGGTACCAGTCCATATGAAAAAAAATGTCGTCAATAAAACGGCAGTAGGACACCAAACTCGCCCCCCACGGATGGCCTTGAAGTACAAATGCCTCTTCCCAAAAGGCCATAAAAAGGTTGGCATAGCTCAGGGCGAATTTGGTGCCCATGGCCGTCCCACAGATTTGGAGGTAGAAAGTGTTTTCGAACCAGAAATAGTTGTGGGTTAAGATTAATAAAATTCCTTCTAAAATATACTGGATTTGTTCTTCTTTAAAATCTGATTTTGTTAAAAAATGTTTCACTGCTGCTATTCCTTTGTCATGAGGTATAATACTATATAATGCGGTTACGTCACATGTTACTAATATATTTCCTTCTGTCCATTTTGTTTGTTCTAAAATTTGTAAAACATGGATCGTATCTTTAAGGTATGTAGGGTTTTTTATAACGATTGGCTGAAGGATAGTATCTATATACTCGGAGATTCTAGTAGAGATTGAATCTATACCCGATATAATTGGTTTTCCTGGAGGGTTAGTTGTATTTTTATGAATTTTTGGTAATAAATAAAAGACCGGTATTTTGGGATTGTCTATCCACAAATAATCTGCCTCTTTTTCAGTAAGGATTCCTAAATTTTTTCCTTTCTCCACATACTGCTTAAAAATCTTTATAGTTGCATTTGTAGGATTATATGTTAGTTTCTGATAGGTTGAGGAATCTGAAAGTATTCTATCTACTTCTTTAATATATAACTCTTTATCAAGAATTACTGTTCCTCCTCCCTTATCTGCGGGTTTAATTACTAGTTGATCATCATTTTAAATTACATTTAAGGCTTTCTTTTCTTCTGTTGACAAATTTTGTTTATATTATTAATTTTCCTAAATTTCTCTACATCCTTCATCACCATAGTTTCAAAGGTTTGAATTGCATCTGAAATTAGGTGTCTTGGGAAGAATTGCGATTTCAATATAAGCGGTGTGTGGAAGTATCCATCATTTCGTTCTTCTTGCAAATTATTTTCTTTATTATAAAAAAAAAAATTTTAAGCATAATTTTCTTTTAAATAGATTCATATCTACAAAAAAATTTAACGGATTAAAATCAGCTGTAGGTGCGAATTTAAGACCTTTATTAAAAATGTTTGCCTGTTCTAAAGTAAGGGTTTTTCCTGTTAAATTAAAAATTCCTTCTATATTGATGTCTTGCCTCTCTTCTCTTAATGCCTTGCCTCTCCTCTCTCACTTAATTCAAAATAGGAGGAAGTGGACAGACAACACTCAACCCTGGGAAATACAGGGGAAAAGACAAAGATCAATGGAAGAAGAAGGAGACAGAGAAGAAAGAAGAAATCAACACAAAGAGAAGAGAGGCAAGACATCAATATAGAAGGAATTTTTAATTTAACAGGAAAAACCCTTACTTTAGAACAGGCAAACATTTTTAATAAAGGTCTTAAATTCGCACCTACAGCTGATTTTACTCCTTTTAATTTTTTTGTAGATATGAATCTATTTAAAAGAAAATTATGCTTAAAATTTTTTTTTTTATAATAAAGAAAATAATTTGCAAGAAGAACGAAATGATGGATACTTCCACACACTGCTTAAATTGAAATCGCAATTCTTCCCAAGACACCTAATTTCAGATGCAATTCAAACCTTTGAAACTATGGTGATGAAGGATGTAGAGAAATTTAGGAAAATTAATAAATATAAACAAAATTTGTCAATAGAAGAAAAGAAAGCCTTAAATGTAATTAAAAATGATGATCAACTAGTAATTAAACCTGCAGATAAGGGAGGAGGAACAGTAATTCTTGATAAAGAGTTATATATTAAAGAAGCAGATAGAATACTTTCAGATTCCTCAACCTATCAGAAACTAACATATAATCCTACAAATGCAACTATAAAGATTTTTAAGCAGCATGTGGAGAAAGGAAAAAATTTAGGAATCCTTACTGAAAAAGAGGCAGATTATTTGTGGATAGACAATCCCAAAATACCGGTCTTTTATTTATTACCAAAAATTCATAAAATTACAACTAACCCTCCAGGAAGACCAATTATATCGGGTATAGATTCAATCTCTACTAGAATCTCCAAGTATATAGATACTATCCTTCAGCCAATCGTTATAAAAAACCCTACATACCTTAAAGATACGATCCATGTTTTACAAATTTTAGAACAAACAAAATGGACAGAAGGAAATATATTAGTAACATGTGACGTAACCGCATTATATAGTATTATACCTCATGACAAAGGAATAGCAGCAGTGAAACATTTTTTAACAAAATCAGATTTTAAAGAAGAACAAATCCAGTATATTTTAGAAGGAATTTTATTAATCTTAACCCACAACTATTTCTGGTTCGAAAACACTTTCTACCTCCAAATCTGTGGGACGGCCATGGGCACCAAATTCGCCCTGAGCTATGCCAACCTTTTTATGGCCTTTTGGGAAGAGGCATTTGTACTTCAAGGCCATCCGTGGGGGGCGAGTTTGGTGTCCTACTGCCGTTTTATAGACGACATTTTTTTTCATATGGACTGGTACCACAGAGGCTCTAAAGGCATTCATTGTACACCTCAACACCAATGATTATGGAATCAATTTAACCAGCAACTATAGCGAATCCAATATAAACTTTTTAGATCTTGATATCAGGATTCAAGACACCACGATAGTCACTAGCAATCATTTTAAACTAGTGGATGCTAATAGTTACATTGACATCAACAGCTGCCACCATAAACCTTGGCTCCATAACGCTCCTAAGAGCCAATTTTTAAGGATCCGCCGTAACTGCAAATTAGATAGCGATTATTTAGAACAGGCTACTTATATTAAACAGCAGTTTATGGAAAAGGGATATAATGAAACATCTTTAAATCAAGATTTAGAAGAGGTAGGAAAATTAAAAAGAAACCAACTTATCCAATACAAACCAAAGAAAACACAAATTGACACTAATGAAGTTAGGAAAAGAGGAAATGAAATTTATATATACTTTTAAAACCCTTATTCCTTATGGCCTAAATTTAGATTTTGAGGTCTGCCATTTTTAATGCATTCAGATTTTTATAATTTTAATTTTTGAGGTTTGCCACTTTTTATGCACCCAGATTTTTATAATATATTATGAAATATATTTTATTATCTCATTTTATGATTTCATTCAGGGGTTGTCTTACTCTTCTGCACCTTATGTTTTATATATCATCATCTCATATTTATTCACTTTTTACTGTTTCTTTTCCATGAGGGAATAGGATTTATATAAATAATTTATGATGTTTTTCCTGATATTGTCTTCATTGTTTATGTAAGAAGTCTCTCCTATAAAGTAGAGCTGTTTTTACATCTTATTTGTATTTTTACATTAACCTTGCTTCTCTTTTATTCTTTATTTTGTGAGCCATTCTTATTAAATATCAATGATCTTATGTGTAAAATGGACTGCTTTTAACCAGCTAAGCAAAGTGGAACGCATAGATACGTCCCAATGCACGAGAACCGGAATAAGGACGCATGCGTTCCACCGATGGAACGCAAATGCCAAAACCAGAAGTGATCGAACTAATGCGTTCCACCGATGGAACTCGGAAGCGAAAGTGCCGCGATCAAGGAAAAAGGGCGCGAAATACAAGCTACAAATACAGAACATTTATAACAAGCAACTAGAGCAACTGAGGAAGCCTCTACACGAGGCGAAACGCGTTTTGCAACCAGAGACTCTCTCGACAAGGTCACCTTCAATTGTAAGGTCTTGTTTTTTACTTTATTTGTGCACTTTATTAATAAAGCACTTTAACTATTTATACTCACCTGCGAGAGGACATTGAATTACTCACCACCTCCTGGCAGTATAAAGAAGGTAGTGGGATCCTTAATCCCACAACGCTGGAAGATTGAGCCTTATTTTATAGGCTCTTGTTTTGTGAGTGTATTTTCACATACCTCCTTACATTCTATTTGAGACTTAGACAATATTGCACTATTATGTGTCTTTATCTGTTTTATCTCTAGGCAATACCAATATTTGCTTTTAACAAGAAGATACTCCACCCTATATTGTATGTAACCTTTTGGTGTATGACCTGTAACTGCAAAAGAAAATGTTAAAATCCTCGTCATATGAGGTATTCCCAAAATCAAGACAAACTGATTAATCTATTAATATTATTTCCTTTAGCTGTACCGTTTTATTACAGATTGAGAACAGGCAACACTGTAACAAACATTCCCCCCAATTTTTTAAAAATGTTTTCTTCCCATTAAGCAAGGAGTTATATATAATTATTTAGGGTATAGAAAGAAAGCCCTGAGTGTTGTTTAGAAAAATTGTGTATATTGTGCGTTTGCGCAATAAATTAATGAATAGGAGGCAAATTAGCATCTTGCCCTTAAGGTACAATATAATCCTCATTATGAAGGGGATAATTACAGATTTGTACAAATCACTGTAACAATAAATTAATTTACTTCTTCTATAAAGCAAGTAAATCCCTTTATGTTTCACTATTTGCGCAGATGAGCACGCTTAGAATGTTATTATAATCTAATCAGCAAAGATTGAGCGAAAACATAACCAAGTTACATACACACATCTAAGAATCCGTCCATTACTGATGGGAATCATCAGATAATTTGTGGCAGGCTGGCAAAAGTATAATTATTTGCCAGAATCTTTGTGATTCCTAATTTCTCTGTGTATCATTACGCTTTTATTTATTTAATAAGCGTTCCCTTGAATGCCTTTCCAAAATGTGAGAAGTCATTCGTACTATTAATTCTGGGTCATACTTCCTGAAAGTCTGTTGCACAATCATAATTTTAGGTTCTGATTAAAGGGACCCTCTTGGTACTATAGCCACTTAATCTCAATAAAGTGGTTATGGTGCCTTGGGTCCCCTTTTCAATATTAACCTGTTTTTTTAATGGTCTATCACTGTATGAGGGTCTACAGCAGCCTGTGGCCTGGTCCCTAATAGAGGTACGGCTAAGGTGGAGATTATGCAAAACGAAGTGATCCTCTAAATGAGAAAATGTGTCTGTTAGCGCTATATTTTTCTCTGTGTTTGTGTTTTTCATATATTCCATCGGTATATATCCCCCATTTAATCTGTCTAATAAGAGGGTAAGCTATATTGCATGTTTATTTTATCTTTTGTAAGTGCTCCACTATAAATGTGAAATAAATTATATATATATATATATATATATTAACCTATATTACACTATTTCACATAAGGTGGAGATTAGTTTACAATTCACCTCTGTCAAACCAATTCACACCAATGAGGGCAGCTGTGATGCACTGACAAAGGTTATCTGACTCTCTCAGCCTATCACTGGTGTCCACCACTGCTTGGGAATATGTGCAAGCATGATCCTGATGAGGACACAGGGACTAAGCTTGGAGGACTGCACTATGAGATCAGGCATCATAACCATGTCAATGAGATGAAGTGGTTATAGTGCCGAGAGGCTGTGCCTTTAATAGCTAAATGCTTAAAGAAGGACATGCGCCTTGCAGCTCTCCATGCCATCAACGACACATATCCATAGTTATTTTAGTTCTACCAAACTAGTCTGCATTCCTTGCCTTTTACCATTTCACTGCGAGTTCACTGCTCCAAATAACCCTTTGTTTTTTGACACCTCTCACCTTGGCTTGCATTAAATGACTATTCCATTGAAGTTTCAACTGCCCTAGTTGGGTAACCTTTGAATATACTTATTGGATTGTAGTACCAGACCCTGCTTGCAAACAACCATTCCCTACAGAGCTGTTTATTCAGACTTTGGTCATTTCAATAGACTGAAATACAGTGAAACCAAGGTGTGAGAGGTTAGTGTGATAAAGTGCAGGTAAACGGAATCCGTTTAGTGACTGAGGATTTGCCAAAATTCCATGCATGTGACCCGGATCTTTTTGGCAATTTTGCCATGTTTTTATTTTATTTTTTTTATGACAATTAGGGCTTTCTTCTGATACCCTATGTATAACACAACATTAATGATGAAACGCAAGGGGCAACTGTGCCGGACGAAAGTGGACCCACTTTGGAAATAAACCATCGGCAGGTTTGGTGGGAAAGAGCAGATGAATTTTTTGCTGTATTTACCAGCTACCAGATTTGTTGAGAATGAATCTGGCTGAAATTTGGTTTGATAAAAAAATAAATGTTATATGGAATTTGCGAAGGAGAATGACTGATTTTGTTTACGGTGTTGAAATTCGATCATGGTGACGAATTTTGCTAATCCATCCTGTATTCAGACTTTAGTAAATAGCACGTTCTCTCAGTGTTTTGGTGGTGTCATCCATGCTCTCAGCTTTTTTTAAAAAAAGGGTTTGATAATTTGAGAAACTATCTTGGCTACACCTTCTTTTTCATTAAATACAAACAGATCATGCAAACAGCACTCTGACTTTGATTAGCATTGTTTATTTTTGTAGTGTTTGCTAAGTGGTGGCGTTGGTGTGAGCACACAAAGCAGTAAGCCTTTTTTAGGTTTACTCAATGAGAAATATGTGCAGCTGGCCTGTGAGAATGTGCCTACAGTGTGCTGCAGTGGTTATAGTAACAGGAGTAACCTTGCGTTAACCCCAAAGTTCAACACAAAACATTTTCACACAGTGTGACACTTACTGTAGACGAAGTTCAATGGCTGAGGTTAACAATATCAGTGAAAAGAGGCCAGACTTTGGGCGCCCACGGGACCCTAGTAAGTGTCAAACTATTTAAAAACATTTTGACTCTTAACAGTGAGATAGCGCTGCAGTGATTATGGTGCTTACAGTGCGCCTTTAATTAAAGAGAATCCAAAACGAACTTCTTAGATTTTTCTGCATTATATCAATATTATATAGTATAGGACATAATCTTTCACATGCTGCTTATCAGCTTGTTGAAATAAATTATATAAAACATGAAAAACTTGATAAACGTGGCAATCCTAACTGAGGCTTCTGCCATTTTTTTTGTTTAGCAATAGCATAGGCAGCCAACATCTTGCCACCTCTGTCTTACAGGGTAAAAATCTCGTACAATCAGTAAACCAGAACAACTGGAATTGTTGAAACTTGTGAGACTCACCTGCTAAATCACTGCTGAAAGCTGAATTGTAGATCCACAGGACAGGAGACACATGTGTCGCGATTCCAGAAGCTGTGGGGGAACACATTTCATTTTCAACATGGATGCAGGCCATATGAATTGATCTTTATATTGCTCTACCACAGAGGTGTCTAACCTTGCTGGACTACAATTCCCATAATTCTCAGATGGAGGATCAAGGCCTGGGAATTTAATCACAACCACTGCTAAAACATTAACAAATAGGCGACCACAACAGAAACTAAATCGTTTGGCATCTGACTTCCTTTTCCAGATTGCATGATCTTTTGTAACTATTATAGGTTATCAGGAGAAAGGAGTAATGTGTGATCTGGTGCTCCCAGCTTAGGAAATGGAATGAGTTACTAAACTTTTACTAGAAGCCAAAATAATCTTCAGCGGTCAGATGGATAAAATACCTGGCATTTATCTTTTAGAATACGGCATATGCCATTTTTTTTAATCAAGTGACACTCGCAGCATTTTAGCAAGAAGGCGTGATGTCAGACTCACCCTGAATGACGTCCACTTTCAGCTTTCTAAGCATATCGTCCCACATTAGTTGCTCCTTCTCAGGAAAATGTTCATGGAGAAAACCGACCACCCCTTTGACGAAAGTGACAAACATTTTGCCCAGATTCCCCTGGTTGTCATTAAGCCAGGCCTTAGAGTCCTGTCCTTCTCCAAGGTGATAAACCTACAAGGAGGGAGACATGTTTAGGAAAGCCTGCATTTAATTAACATACGCACCCAGAGCTAATCAATGCGTGATTTGTATGAGGTGAGTGACATTCACAATTCATACTGGCTTAGTAGAGTGGCATTCACAGCCCTGACTGGCTGAGATAAATGACAAAGGACACATGACTAACTAGTAAAGTATTACAGAAGAGATACCATGGCAGACAGATTATGAGTATATGATATATATATATATATATATATATATATATATATATATATATATATATATATAGACGGGATTACATATGACAGACAGCCAGGGCTATGTAATATATAGTCCTGGCTGTCTAAACAGAGAGATACAAGTCAGACTGAGTGTCTATGGACAGGGATGTTTACAGCTGTACTTGGATATTAGAGCTGTAACTCACTAAGGTACTCATTGGCTGTGGAGAGAGGTACCTACACCTGTGATTGGCTGTGGAGAGAGGTACTTACAGCAGACTGGCTAAGGAGAGAGGTACCTACAGCTGTGATTGGCTGTGGAGAGAGGTACTTACAGCAGACTGGCGAAGGAGAGAGGTACTTACAGCTGTGATTGACTAAGGAGAGAGGTACCTACAGCTGTGATTGACTAAGGAGAGAGGTACTTACAGCTGTGATTGACTAAGGAGAGAGGTACTTACAGCTGTGATTGACTAAGGAGAGAGGTACTTACTACAGCTGTGATTGACTAAGAGAGGAGGAACTTACAGCTGTGATTGACTAAGGAGAGAGGTACTCACAGCTGTGATTGACTAAGGAGAGAGGTACCTACAGCTGTGATTGACTAAGGAGAGAGGTACTTACAGCTGTGATTGGCTTATTCGAGAGGTACATTACCAAGAACAAGTCAGTCCAGGAATTCCAAATCAGCAACTGCTATGTGGAAATATTACCCAACCATCCATTAATAGAGATACCGGTGTATATACTAAAAAAATATTATTAAATAGTGGTTGAAACTAGTGGCTTTAACATTTACTAACACCCACATAACGCTAGTAGAAAGTAAATATAGTACAGTATAATCACTATAGAAAATATAAATCACTGATAGAAAATAAAACCCACATCCAATGCAAACGGCCAGAAAACCTCGAGGCTCCAGCCTTTTTAAATATTCAGATCTTCTTCATATTTATTAGTCAAACACGCTGAGTAATAAACACAATCTGCAGGCGGTGGGCGCAGTATGAACTGTGCTCAAAGTGCTAACATTGGGATGTAAAGCCGGAATGTGAGAGTCTTCACCTCATCAGCCCCGATGTGGATCCAGTTGCATGTGGGGTGCTTCTCTAGAACTTGAGTCAGGATGGATTTCACCAGCGGCAAGGACTCTGTGTGGTGAGGGTTCAGGCTGTTGGGATAACGTTCCACCTCTCTCAATCCCGTGAATTTTTCATGCTTCAGAACATACTGCAAAGGAAGGGGTTTGTGATTAATAAGATCTACATGAAACATATTGACAAGGCAGTACTACATGATATATGGCTCAATAAATCTATTAAATAGGAGGTGGTTTAACAGAAGTTTAAGTAGGTTCTAAAAGGCTGTGCTCTAAAACACTGACTTTTTAAGAGCAACCACCATTTTTGTTTACTATATGTTGGACTATAGCCTCATATACCCACTTTGCTTAGCTTTCTGCTTCGGGTTTGGAAATCCGCATTCCCCAAATTAGATGCCAATTCCTTGAAAAATTTGATCATGGTATTCAACTATTTTAAATTATTACGCTTTCATCCTCGCTGTATAGATTGTTCACAATACTTTCTTGTTTTGATGATCTCCTCAGAATGTAAGATCCCTTAGAATGCAAGCTCAGCGGGGCCTTCAGCACCTTCTGCTCCCGTACGTCCAATATGTTTTGTTGCAAATATTTGCTTTAGTCCACCTTCTGTAGAGTGATGCAGAATTTGTTGTCGATTTATATAAATAATAATAGTATCCTTGACAGATAATCTCTAGGCATCGCAGTTATTTGTGCCCTCAATTTTAATTATTATATGTCAATCACACTTGTGATTAACCAAACTAATATTACAGGTTTTCATAGTGATTTTGATCCAGTGTGTGCATGAGTGCTGTCCCTCCAAAGTTTGTCAAGCGTTTTTTGCCCTCAGGGTTTTTTTCAGCTCCGAAAACCTGGCCCCGCTGCCTTTGTAATGCAGAAATGTCACTACTGTATGACATGCGCACAGTCATTTCTCCGACATGGGCACTTACCTTAACCATAACCCCATTAAAACACAGACACCGATTTTACTGTTGGAAATATTAGTCAACAGCTTTATTAATTAAGGTATAACAAAATAGGGTCATTGCCAACAAATATTTTATTAAAACCAACCTTCCACCCCCCCCATACATAACATACCCCTGTCAATGACCCCACACCAATAATAGCAATATAAATAACGGATAACACATAACCTGGCCAACCAAACGTCCCCATTTGCACTGGATTAAATTGTAGGTGTGTACCGAGACACCCCTACATTCCCAGGTTCGGAACCACCAATGAGCTCGAACCTACAAACCAAGTGTAACACTGCCTAGTCCATACTAGACCTAACCATGCCCACTTCCTACTCCATCTACCCCCCGACTTTAACATGGGCATTCCCCGCCGCTGTAAAGAAAACAGGTAAACACCCAACTATCAATAAATGGGAGGGTGGGAGGGACAACAGGTAAGTTTAGGTTTAGTTAAGATGGCCACTTCATAAAATGGCCGATATATACTCCTAGTAAACCCCACTCCCAATTAATTTAAAACTGGTTGCTGTGCCAACCTCCTGGCTCTGTCAAAGCCCATTCCCCTAGCTGTGCTGTTCCATGGGCTACATTATCCAGGCAAATCCAAACAAATCTGGATTGCAATGACACAAAGTTTAGAAGAGAAGAGATCCCAAAGATATCTTGCACTATAACCACTACAATAAACTGTATTAGTAATTATGGAGCTAGTTGTCCCTTTAAATCTCAAGATACGTTTTCCTTTTTACTTTAATTATAACAAAGAGGATTGTGTTTGTAAATATTGCCGAATTAGTTTGTAACAGCGCTCAGGAAGTATTTGAGAATCTGCAAGGATATCTCTAAATAACAGGTCGATCTTTTCCTTCTCACACCAATCCCTAATTTTAATTGTCTGCATTGTTCTGTTATTGAAATATTTTAAAGAACAAAGATTTTCAAACCAAAACTAAAATGCCGAAATTGAAAGTGAATAAAACGTAAATGCAGCGATTTCCTGCTTGGGCCATTTTTCCATTCAAAGCAAATACAAAGAAATACTGTTAGGTATCACCTGCATATCTCACGTTGGACTTTAAATGGATTTTATAGCGTTAGGAATACAAATCTGTATTCCTAACACTAAAAGGCCCTCTGTCCGTCCGTCCCCCTCCCTTGCAACCCTTTTCTTAGCAGATAAAGGGCTTAAAAAAACAACTACTTTATTTACTCACCTAATTTCAGTGAAGATGTCCCTCTGCACTGGGTTGGCACTCTACCTCCTCCAACGTCATCCGATGGGGTGGTGGTGGGGCTAGTGTGCATGCGTGGCGAGCTCTGAGAGCACATTAGACCCTCTCCATAGGGGATTTCACTGATGCTGAATATCCAGCGTTATGTAGTGGACCTAGAGTCCATTAGAATCCGGAAGTGCCTCTAGTGGCTCTCTGATTGACAGCCAGTAGAGGCAGTCTTAGTCCTGCAAGGTAATCATTGCAGATTCTAAAAAACTACAATGGTTTACATTGCAGGACTAAATGGGACAGGGACACTGCACCCAGACCACTTGAATTAAATGAAGTGGTCAAGGTGACTATAGTAACCCTTTAAGGAGGCTTTCTTCCGCACATAAACTCGACAAATAACGTTTCCACAATCCCAGAGTTCCCAGCTTGACATGCAAATGAGCACAGATAGGCATTGTGTTTTGGACTTTATAGGGCACTACTGCAAACACCATAAGCAATGGATACCGTTTTAAACACAGCTTTTTTTAAAGGAACACTATAGGGTCAGGAACACAAACATGTATTCCTGACCCTATAGTGTTTAACCCTCCTTTACCCTTCCTATAAAAGTTTAAAACTCACCTTGTTTCCAGCGCCGCACGGGTCCGTCGGCACTGGCTCTATGGGAAAGCATTGGGTTGGCTAAAATCAGCAAAGGGGTGGGCCAAATGCCGTTTTGGCTAATCAGGCCAATCAGCATTTTTGGCAGCACTGACCCAGAATGCACCTCCAGTGGCCATCTAAGGAATGGCCACTTGGAGGTGTACCTAGAGGCAATGTAAACACTGCTTTTCTCTGAAAAGGCAGTGCTTGCATGAAAAAAGCCTGAAGGGAGCTATTATACTCACCAGAACAACTACATTAAGCTGTAGTTGTTCTGGTTACTACAGTGTCCCTTTAAAGACCAAAGCATGGGCTATTCAACCAAAGGATCAGTGACCAGAAACCAGCCATGGACTACAGTTATGACCTTGTGGGTCTCGTCACCATGGACCAGGTTTTACCTGGGAAGTTGAAGTCTCCCCGACAGCATATAGCTAGATACACAAAAAGATTGTCATGAGACCAAACACAATAAAACTCCCCAGAGTTCAAATACAAAGAATTACAAGCAAGCATCACCGGTTTATCACATTTCAGACTTTGAGTTGTCCATCTTGGACAAACACAGACAAACCAAACATTTTTGCAATGTAAACGGAAGGAGCCATAAACTTACCTCCATGTGCCCAAACGTTTGGACCAGTGGTACAACCTCTAGTTTGTTCATTTTGGCGAGTTCCAAGATCTTCTCAATGTCTGCTTCACTGGAAAGGAAAGAGAGAGTGAATAAAAACCGTAAGATACAAATTTGTTATTATCTTCTAATCATTAACCTGGTAATTGTGGGGGAAAGAAGAGAGGAATGCAAATATAAGGACAAAATACCCAGATCTTAAAATTAAAAAAAAAATTATAATTAAAACTTTTTCCAGATAAGGTAATTATGTCTATGAGATATGATACTAATTGTATGATATAATGCCTTTATCACTTGTTATATTGACCCGATACTGGCACATCTGTACTGTAAAAAAAGAAAAACCATATGGTTTATTCACACACTAAAGTCTGGAAATGTAAACAGCTTTTTTGCAAGGCAATATATTACTATTGACATTTTAAGGCTTAACATTGTGTTTAACATGAACTGCTTACAAAAGATTTAGAATATTTATCTTAAATTAAACAATGTGCTCCCCATTTTTTTGTTCTTTTTTTCCAGGCTGCCGTTCCAACCCTGGGAACTGAAAGACACTAATTTCAATAAAATTTTATGCTGTAAACGGGTAAGAAGAAATTCACGGCAGGCTCACTTTCGTAACAGATCTTAAAATATATCATGTGCAGGTTGTGATTGTAATACCAATGACCCCAATGTCAAATAGCCAAATAATTGTAAGGAATTCAAAGTGAACTTTCCGTTCTTACGCCAAAATAGTCAAATTGCAAAGATAGCGGATTTGGAGAATTCTTCCAATTCGTCTGTTGTGGATAAAACAATTTTTAATTCATTTTGAACTCCTGACTTTGGTGAATAACCTTGCGAATCAGTTTTGTTCAGAAAAGCTTATGGCCTCCCAGAGTAACTTCTATGTCACAAATATATATCCGTCTCTCTCCTAAAGAGCCACACTCCACTCTCACCTCCAGTTCTGCTACTTTCCCACCTTGTTTGTCTGCTGCCTCTCTTGACGCCCTTCCTATTGTGTCCTTATACTCCACTCCATAGACTATAAGCATTATTATTATTTTATTATTTATATAGCGCCATCAGATTCCGTAGCGCTGTACAATCTCATAATCTCATCAACCTATTGATCCTGTGTGAGTTTGTAATTGTCTCATTTATTGTTAAATTCCCCCCTTTCATAAAATTGTAGCGTGCTGCAGAATAACAATAATAATAGTAATAATCTAAAATAATGTAGAGAAACTGTCCACCACTCACCTGTAAGCATACGCTGATTTCAGGACTTCTAATTCACCACTGAAAGGAAACATGTCCTCGTATTCAATAAGCAATCCATTGGCGCCCAGTTTGGACAGAAGGGGGAATAGCTGGAAAATACCATCAGAGAGAATTACAATGTTGTTTGTGTATCATTACTGCCAGATCTGACAGACAATATTACAGTAACATAATAAAGACAAAAAGGGAATTGGAAGCACACCTGAAACATGCATTTTGCAGGAATGATGCTGCTGTAGAGACCAACATTTATACAGAATACAGATTAAGGAACAGCGCACACATTAACATACAGGAATTCCTTACCAAGGGTGCCCAAAAGGTAGATCCACGGATGTTGTGAAACTACAGCTTCCATGAAGCATTCTAAAGGCATGCAAAGCATCATGAGAGTTGCAGTTCCACAACACCTGGGGATCTCCCCTTTTGGACACCGGTGCCTTGATCTGTATTAGGTATTACAGTTTCAGACAGTTACTTAAAAAGTGATGCTTGTATATATAAAAAAAAAAAAATATATATATATATATATATATATATATATATATTTTTTTTTTTTTTAAAGTACTTTTTTTTAATTTATTTTTTTTATTGCAAACCAGTAATATTTCGGACAAAAACTCCACTTTCACTAATTGCAGCGGTAAATATGTTCTTGTTCAGTCTGCATTGTGACAGCTCATTTTGGCATCCCAGATCATTTTCCGAAATTTCTCAGTCACCCTTAGAACTGCGTTTTTAATCACATGACTGCACAAGGTAGACCCACAACATGTAATTTCATATTTATGAAGAAATACATTGTATGCCTATTGCAGTATAACTTTCCAAGACACCATAAAACCTGTACAAGTGGGGTACTGTTTTACTTGGGAGACTTCGCTGAACACAAGTATTAGTGTTTCAAAACAGTAACATGTATTACAACGATGATATCGCCAGTAAAAGTGAAGTTTTTTGCATTTTTCACACACAAACAGCACTTACACAGACGATATTATTGCTGTGATACTTTTTACTGTTTTGAAACACAAATATTTGTGTTCAGCGAAGTCTCCAGAGTACAACAGTACCCCTCATGTACAGGTTTTATGGTGTTTTCAAAAGTTACAGCGTCAAATATAAGGCTTGTGTTTCATTTTTTTCACATTCAAATTCGCCAGATTGGTTACGTTGCCTTTGAGACCCTATGGTAGCCCAAGAATGAAAATTACCCCTATGATGGCATAACATTTGCAATAGTAGACAACCCAAGTTATTGCAAATGGGGTATGTCCAGTCTTTTTTGGTAGCCACTTAGTCACAAACACTGGCCAAAATTGGCTTTTTTGCATTTTTCACACACAAACAAATATTAACGCTAACTTTGGCAAGTGTTTGTGACCAAATGGCTACTAAAAAAGACTGGACATACCCCATTTGCAATACCCTGGGTTGTCTACTATTGCAAATGGTATGCCATTATGGGTGTAAATTTCATTCCTGGGCTACTATACAGTCTCAAAGGCAACGTAACCAATCCGACGAATTTCAATTTCAAATGTAACATGCTATATTTGACCCTGTAACTTCCCAAAATGCCATAAAACCTGTACATAGGGGGTACTGTCTTACATGTGAGACTTTGCTGAATACAAATATGTGTATTTTATTGCAGTAAAAGCAAACAGTATTAGGATATTGACAGTTAAAATGTCATGTAGAACTAAAAAAAATAAAAAAATAATCTTATTTTCTCCCATTTTTTTCATATTACATTATGTTTCATAGCTAAATATTTGATATTAAATGAAAGCCCTGTTTCTCCTGAATAAAATGATATATAATAAGGGTGGGTGCATTTAATATGAAAGAGGTGAATTACTGTTGGACAGACATGTAGCGCAAATGCCAGGTTTTGTTTATGTTTTGTTTTGTTCACAACGTGTACATTTGGCTCCGTCCTTAAGGTGTCCCTAGGTTGTCATGTAAACACTGCCTTTTCTATGGAAAGACAGTGCTTACTGAAAAAAGCCTGCAGTTAAAGCCTATACTCACCAGAACAACTACATTAAGCTGCAGTTGTTTTGGTGACTATGCATGACCAGATAATAATGTGTAAGCAGGATTTGTGCTATCCTACCAATGATCTCTGTATTACTGGAAATATACTGATGGACAACTAGAATTTTGGTATGGTATGTTCTATTAAATGTATCATTTACACTTTATGCTTGCATGTCCTGGCACGACTAGAGCATAACATGCAAATTAACTCCACTCCCAAGGTGTCATGTGGGTAAATAACACAATAAAAGGAATTTCTTTGCAGATACGCAAGAAAGCATTAGAACAAACTGAGCATCACAGGGTCAATCTGACAGGAAGCAGAAGCATTGCGGAGGAAAGGCGTTTTTTTTTTGTATGTTGACGTTACAGCTGACCCCAGTAAATACTTCCATGGCAGTCACAGTTATGTTTTAGAAAATAAACACATACACACACTTTAATTAACTGCAAATTTTGTATTTTCAAGTATATACTACACTACAATATTACTGTATTATATTAATATTACTGTACAAAAAAAAAAAGATTTTTCAAAAAATGTCTTCACACAAGAAAACAAACTTTAGCTTTTTCAGAGAAAATTTGGGGTTAATCACTTAACTAGAAATGTAAAGTTTAAGTGAAATTTTTAAATGTTTCAAGCCGACAAATCAACACCCCAATCCTCAAGCGCTACGGAATCTGTTGGCACTATATAAATGGCAATAATAATAATAATGTAACACAGATATTATGGTTATTCATTCAAGAAAGAATTGTAAGGAATTCAAAGTGAATTTCTCATTATAGGCTGAACGGAAAGCATAGCTGATTTGTAGAATTCTTCTAATTGGACTATTTTAGCCTTTTCTTAATTAACTTAACTTTTGAATTCATTTTGAATTCCTGGCACTATAGTGAATTATCCTGACTGGTTTAAAGATGGTGGGGATTCATCTTACCTGTTCAAAATAAGTAATCCTAGGGGCAGCTCCCTTGAGATCCAAATGGACAAGTTTCATCTGAATGAAATCTTTTTTTTCAGATTTTTTTTTTATAGGATCCTTCTTAACAGTCATTTCGACCACTGGTTCCTGCGGGGGCTCCTTATTGTCTTCTTTTTTGTTCGTGTCATCTTTCCCCCAAAACCATCCTGCCTCCATCTTACCTGCATAGACTATGTCCTCTTCAGGAGGGCTGCATGTAAAGAGAGAAAAAAAATAGTCTTAAATCGGTTTATCATTGGTCCTGCATTCTGAAATACTGGCTTTCTTTTCTTTTTTTTTAAATATAATTTTTATTCGTTTTCATCATTGTCACAGGATTCAACAGTGGTTATTGTAAAGCATTGTAACAGTACAAGTAACATCGAATACATGGGTGATGGTAGGTACAATACACAGTTAGGTAACATGCAGCTTTATACAAGGTTTCATATAAGTTGTTTGGCGATATTAGGCATCACATATATTCCTGATATCATGAATAGTTATTCATTTGTGTCTATTCCACTCTCTGTGTTTGTGGTACACCATAATGCTCAACTTACGTTAGGCAACGTATTCTTTTATTGTGTCAGTTGATGGGTATTGACAGGCATTCTGCTGCCGTTCTAAACGTCGTGTTTTTTTTTTTTGTAAAGATGTTTTTATTAAAAGTTAATCAGCATTGTTTGTGCAATCACAGTTAGCTGTGTGAGACTCGCAGGTCTCCTAAATCTCTTACTAGTATTTGGATGCGCAGATCCAACTATTGATTGATTGATGTATGTGTTAATAAACATTAGGAACAAGTTGTGTGGTTCTGAACAGTAGTATAACTTGGGGTACGGGCAACCTCCATGAGGTCGATACTAGGAAGTGAATGCTTTGGGGAGTCACCATGCTAATTCTAGTATTACTCAGTGCGTGTTGAATTGTAGGCGCAGTGCCAGTCCATTTGTGTTTAGGGCAGAGCGCTATGTGCCTGGGGTGCAGATTGACTGCAATTATCGTTTGGTGCTATTTTTAGGCATTTGTGTTTGCAAGATGGCAACATCGTTGTCATACGGTGGACTACGCTCCGAGTGGGGTCCGGTCTAACGAGTTCACGGGCACCCATTGCGACATAACAGGTCCATTGCATAACTTCTGTTGACCCGTCTACGTTCCCGGTCATGGGCGTTTGTCGTCTGCCTTGGTGCATAAGAATGGTGCAGGCTATAAATATGCGTATAATGCTACCAGGTTGTGGGGGGTTCGGGCATTCAGCTCTTGATGTACTAAGATGTGAGTTGTTGCTAAATTAAATGGAATGCTAAGGGTGTTATTAATTGCCGTGTTGCCATTGTGGCATTGTGCAGTTATGTAATATCAATGTATTTATATGTTTAAAGAGTTAAAGTGACTGTACATTGTAATCGTGGCTTTCATTTGGAGGTATGCATGGGATAGGGTGTGTATATGATTAGAAAGTTCATATCGTTACGTTTTGCTTGCAGTTTTCCTTACAGTAGAAACAGATAACAGTGGAACCTTTACAACAGCGAGGCTCGTAGGCCTCCATAAATGTGAAACATAGTGAGAACATTGAGCACAGTTAGTATTGATCTATCTGCTGCGATGGGCTCGTAGGTCCGTATAATTGTATCATGGCCCTTCTGGGCATCGTGTCATCAATCCCTGTTGGTGTAGTGTGTTGGGCTTCTGGGTGTGTGCGTCGGTCTAGGTGTGTGATGTATTGTCTCTAATGTTGTCTGTGTGTGTGGTCGGTCTTCTTCCATTCGGTATCTGTTAGTGCGGGGTATGTTATGTGGTACGTGGGGGTTGAGTGTGTTTTGTGGCCTCTGTGTTTATTTCATCGTGGGTATGTGGCAGCGGGACCCTAAGTCTAACAGGGTTCGTAGATCCACAGGGGCAGTGAGAGTAGTGGGAGCAATAAGCACGTCTAGCTTTTGTCTAGTGATGGCGATGGACTCAGGGGTCCATCGGGGTTATCTAGGTCCATCTGGAGAATTGGTTCAGCGATCTCCTTCGGTGGTGTGAGGTTGGTTTCTGGTTGCTTCTGCGTTGTAGAGCATTTGAAGTATGTGTGGTTTAGGTGTTTGTAAAGGTTGGGCTGTGATGTCGTGTTTGTAGTTGAATGTGCTGGGGTAGGGTGGGGGAGGCGTGGGTGTGCTAGGTAGACAAGGTGTGTTGGGGGTGACTTCATCCACCTAACCCCCACCCCCGTCGACCGCGCCCCCCCCGGTCTCCTCTTGCTATGTATATTATCCAGGGTTGCCATTTGTCTACGTGCTTTGAGAGGGTTTCCGTCAGGGTCACGTGTATTTCTTCTGCAGCTCTGATTTCTTCTACTCTGGTTAGCCAGTGTTCCATTGTGGGGGCTTAGGTTTGTTTCCAGAGGGTGGGGATTAATGCCTTGGCCGCATCAAGGAGGTGGCGTAGGATTGATCGCTTGTATTTAGCGATCGGGTCTTGTGTATGGTGGAGAAGTATAGTTTCCATAGACAGTCTCGTCGTATCTCCTAGGACATCTTTGATGCGAGTTATAATCTGGTTCCAGTATGGTTTGATTTTGGCGCATTCCCACCAAATGTGTTTCACTGTGCCCACCTCTGTCTCGCACCTCCAGCATGTCGGTGGGGTGTTGGGGAATATTTTGTGTAGAAGGTCCGGGGTTCTGTACCAGAACGTTAGTAATTTGTAATTCATTTCTTGATAGGACGAGTTGATTGAGGATTTGTGGTGGAGGATTAGAATTTTGGCCCATTGTGCGTCTGTGAACGTCCTGTCCAGGAGGAGTTCCCATTTTCTTTTGTATGGCGGTGTGGTATTTTGGTTGTTCGTTATTAGGTATTGGTATAGGGTTGAGGTTGGTTTCAGAATGGTTGTTTTTTGGTCGCAAAGCTCTTTGAACCATGGGTTCTGTGTACTGAGGCTTTATTTGGTAGCGTCTGATAAAAATGTGTCAATTGCGTATATCTGTATCTGTGCACGGGGGTCGGTGTGTCTTCCATCAGTTGCTCTAGAGGTTTCAGTCCGGTGGCGGTCAGTGTTCTGTGGAGGGGTACGATGTCTTCTCCCTCTAAGAAGCTCCAGGCGTTTGCTGGCAGTCCTCCCCCTAGGAGCGGTTGTCTGTTAGGGTGATCAGTGGGCTAGGTGTGGGGGAGAGATTTGCTGTTTTCCGTAGTTTCGACCATGTCTGGAGAGTTTGGTTCATTGGGGAGAGCTTGTGTAGTTCGCCTCGCGTTGTCGTTGTGTTCCATACTGAGGCGAAGATCGACGGGCCGTCAGGCGTGGTCCTATCTAGAACCACCCATTGTTTGTGTCGGGGGTTAGTGTGCCATTCTAGAATTCTCTGTAGGGTCGTTGCGTGATGGTATTTTCGCAGGTCTGGGATTGCCAATCCTCCATTTCTTCTGGTCAGGCAGAGGAGCTGGTATCGCAGTCGCGGTCTGTGTCCATTCCAGATGTATGTCAGGAATGCAGCTTTTAAGGAGGCAAAAAATGCCGTCGGTATCGATAGGGGGATCGTGTGGAATAGGTATAGTATTCTGCGTAGTATGTTCATTTTGATCACCGCTATGCGGCCTAGCCATGAGATGTGTGGGTAATTCCAGGTTGAATGCAAGTAAGGAGAGGGATGAAGTTGGCTTGATAGAGGGAGCTTGGGTCTTTCGTTACCCAGATCCCTAGGTATTTCATCTGGAATGGACACCACCGAAATGGAAAGGCCGAGGCAATAGTCCTATGATCTCTCAACGGTCGATTATGTTAAGGAGTTCGTATTTGCTTAGATTGAGCTTGAGGCCCGATAGATAGCCGTTACTCTCGGTTGTGTGATAAAGAATAGCATGTCGTCCGCGTACGCGGCGAACTTGTGGGTTGTAGCCTTCCACGTGTATCCCTGGATGTTGTTTTGTCTGATCGCTTCTAGCAGGGGTTCTAGCGTGAGCGCGAACAGGAGTGGGGATAGGGGACACCCTTGTCTAGTGCCATTTCGGATCAGGAAAGACTATGTTAGGGCTCCATTCACTCGTATTGTTGCCGTCGGTTTGTTGTAGATAGCCCCGATCCAGGCCAGTATGGTGTCGGTGAATCCTATGAGGCGTAGTACTGTTGTCATGAACGACCAATCCACTCAGTCAAACGCCTTTTCGGCGTCGGTAGAGAGTAGAAGGAGTGGCGTTTTGCTTCGTCCTGCTAGGTGTTGTATGGCGAAAACCCTTAGGGTGCTGTCTCGGGCCTCTCTTCCCGAAATACTGGCTTTCTGATTGGTACACAGTGTCAGACAGAATCCCTTCCATTAACAGGACACACGGTATATTTTAATGGAAAATAACAACTACCAAGTTGTATAAAATTATTTTTTTTAAATTTGTAGATCTAACTTGATGACCTTCTTCACTAGCTCTCAAACTAGTCTTCAAGAACACACATATGGGCGATAGAGCAATAGACAGATAGAGCGATAGATAGATATCCTGAAATAGCTATTCTTGGAAAAACATATTCTTGAATGAGATTGTTCCCTAGTTTTTAAATGGAACGCTCCAAACACCATAACCACTACATTGCACTGAGAATTCTTTTACATACATTAAAAAAAATAAAAAAAATACATTCAAAGTTTGTGAAGCTGCTGCTCAGGCACAATCAGGATCCAGCAAAAGACAAACCCCTCACAGAGCAGGAAGAAGCTCACCAATGAGGAACCTCTAATTCTAGTCTTTGGGGTCTTTTATAAACACTGTAGAGCAGGGCTAATGGCAGCAACCGTTGGTGTGTGCGAGCCCAGTGTGTGCACACAACATGCAGAAGTTGGGCGGGTCATGCATTGCAAACAAGGAAGTAAAATATCCCCTTTTGACATCACTGACCCAGGAGGGCTGTCTCCAGCTATTTAACAATCTGCTACAGTTTGCTAAAGTCATTGTGTGCACTAAACAGTGACACTAAAAAAATCTAATTAAAGTAAGAATGTGAAGCTGCCAGATTTTTAACGCTTCTGGGAAAAAATACATGTGGTTCCACTTTTTGTTATTTATCTCCTGGCTAAACATGAATTGGCATTTTGGAGTACATCTCTAGGCTAATATACACCTAGAAAAATTAGGAAGGGGTTTCATGACAGCTGTACTATACCAGCAGGTCTGTTTGTGTTAGGAGCAATTATTGACTTGGTTGAAGGTGCTTATAAATATTATAAGTGTGAAGGGCACAGGAGCGCTTAATCTTCTGGATGGGGGTAGCAGAACTATCCCCCGCCTGGCCCTGTTAGGGTGTAAAATGGCTGGCCAAGTGCAGGGAACTGGAGGTAGGTTACTCTGTGAATAAGTTCTGGGAAGACAGGTCTCATCCAGATTGAGGAAGAAATGGAGGTTATGAGCACAATGATAACAATTGGTGGAATTACCTTCTTCTTGTGATTTACCACACAGCCACTGGGGTAAGCCTTATGCGGACTCTGTAATTATCAATAAAGTTGTGGCCTAAGCCTTTTACCTCTCTTGGCTGTCATTATTGGGAGTTAAAATTAGAGTTTTGTGGATTAACATGGTCGTAGTACCAAGCAGTCAAATGAAAACCATACATATAACACATCTTAAGAATTAGAGGACTAGCCCATGGCCTGGCTGTACATCATGATAATAGCTCTTCACAAATATCTATTGTGTATCACTTTCCTAATTAACGGGTGCAGTGCCGTATACAGAATGCTGATAACTAATGAAACAATTCCACAGCCACAGCTTATTTATGTGGCTTGTATTCTGTCACAAACACGTGACTTGGATACAGTGTCCGCCATTTTGGGTCTTTGTCAAACATTTTTATACAGAATTCCAGTCACTATTGGTGCACACACAGTACCATGCACAAATTAAGAGATATATTACAGAAAGGGTTCGGGGAGATATGTTTTTTTTTTTTTTATCAGCAGCCACTGGGTTAGCTCAGTTAATAAATCAACTATAGAACATGTTCAAATTTCAGGTTTCCAGGTTTGATTACCTGCAGGATCAATACAGCCTTTAAGCCATTAAAGGAGTACTCCGGCATTAGAGATAAATACATTTATTTATAACACTGGAGCACTGTATTGCCTTTTTAGATGATAGCGTGCCCCCTCCTATTTTCCCCTGAAATAAATAACGTATCTCTAATCCAGCAGTGAGAGGGTCTCTTAGTCACATTTTCGCTCTGACTGCCAGGGGATTATCACCATTGATGATTTTACCAACAAACAGAATGCTTCACATAGAGAAGCATTGAGAGGCAAGGCACATGTGCACACATCGCCGTGCTGCTCCTACAATAAGTCTCTAAGAAAGCCCTTGCTCTGCGGCTTGAGCACATGGTAGAGTACCGTCCTGGCTGTCCGACAGCTATGAGGATGCAACCTAGACATTTTATAAAACTGCTGTTTTCTCTTGAAATCAGCACTTTTATTAACTGACAAAGAAGTGGCAATTTGTTAACACCTAAAGCATCTCTGCAAACTGAATTGCTTTGCGGCTGTGGAGTATTCCTTTAATAATAATGATGATTTGAGGAATAACCATAATTGTATTTCACTATATAGATATTTTCCAAGTGTCTTACCTGCTGCTTTTAGACTTATATTTGATGAAAACAACTCCAAGAACAATCAACACTCCGAGCCGAAGTAAGTAAATCCGTCTATGGGGTGGCATCTCTGAGAAAAAAATTTAAAAAACACAAGTTTGGCAAAAAGTAGAAAAAGGAAAAAAAAATATTAAAACAATTAAATCCTAACGGGCAACATGTACATCAAGATATGCCAGATGGTACTGCACAATTTTTGTTTCTTCTAATTACTGACCCTGCATGACCCAGTGTCAATCACCCCAATAACTGACAACGTGCTAGAATTTACCTTTTTTTTTTTTTCTCAAAATTTCACAAAGTTCTGAAACAATCAATCTTGCAAATGCTGTAGCACTAAGATTTAATTGATACCTTGTACCTGACAGTTAAAGAGGGCCGGGTGATTAGTGTCAGGGTTATTCTCTAAAATAAGAATTGAAAGTGTATTTTAACTTCTTGGTCAAAGACTCGGAATGAGAAGCATAGTTGACTTAGAGATAGCTGCCATCTTGGCTATTTTGAGAGGCAACACGTGACTTGGATACAGTGTCCGCCATTTTGGGTCTTTGTCAAACATTTTTATACAGAATTCCAGTCACTATTGGTGCACACACAGTACCATGCACAAATTAAGAGATATATTACAGAAAGGGTTCGGGGAGATATGTTTTTTTTTTTTTTATCAGCAGCCACTGGGTTAGCTCAGTTAATAAATCAACTATAGAACATGTTCAAATTTCAGGTTTCCAGGTTTGATTACCTGCAGGATCAATACAGCCTTTAAGCCATTAAAGGAGTACTGATTTTGAAATGCACATTGAATTCACTTAAGTGATTAACCCTAAGAGTCCCATAACAACAACAACCACAACGAAAAAGAACGACACAAAAATGGATCTTGGTGAAATTATTTGAAATACTCCCCCAAAACAAGGCATCGAGGCACCTGCAGCAATATCAGTTTCATTAATTTATTTACTCATATTATTTATTTATGAAAACACTTTGTCTACTATTAGATGATTAACCAAATTAAAATAAAATAAAACTCACAGTTTACAGCCCTGACATACCTGCAGAAATGTATCACGCTCCCGCCTGCTAAGGGCTGCAATCTTGCCTACATGATTATTTGTTCAGTTATGCCCACTTAGGACCTGTTGTCTTATCACCTTATCACTTTATTTTTTGTATGGCCTGGTAGACTCTCCCTAGGATCCGAGCCACCTCCGGATGCCAGGGTGTAATCCAAAAAAGGGAATCGGCTGACGGCTAGTCAACCATTGTTTCCGGCAATAGAAATAGCCGTGATCTGCTGAGGATTGGCTGCCACTGAGCTCCAAAAAGATTGTTTTATTTTTATTATGAAACGCCTTTTTACCTTTATGTTCTCTCGCCAGCAGTGATACTACTGTCACAGATGCCAGCATTTCGCAATGTGAATAATCAGATATGTTTACTGCCATTTTAGCACATTACTCCCATGATTCTCAGCTTATCTATTTCATTCATACAATAAAGGGAGTTGTAGTTCAGCAACATCTGGAGGGCTGGAGTTTGGGGAAGCCTGGCCTTAAGTAACTGTTCTTAACCTTACTTAACCTTACTTGATACTACTTGTAAATCACATGTTTACTAAGCCTTTTTTTCCTCTTTTAAAAAAATAAAAAATAAATAAAAATGATTCTAATCATTCTGCCCCCACCACAATTCCAGCCCTTGCACCTAAAGCAACATTCAGTTTGAAATCTAGGAGACTGTTTACATTCAAAAACGCACACATACACAAAATGTAATTCACAGACAAAACACACACACACACACACAATCATTAACAGATAAAGCACACACACACACACACACACACACACAATGTAATTCACAGATAACACACGCACACAAAATGTAATTCACATGTAACACACATTTTTCTAACTTACAAAATATAAAAAATTCCTTACTTATGTATCCAGGCATTTATTATAGTAGGTGTAGCCAGAATACTAGGTGTAGCAAGAGCACCTACGCACCCCTTTACTAAATATATTTTTACAACCGGCAAACAAGCCCTTCATTAGATGACACATAAAAAGGGATATGGTCACTGACTCAATGGCAGGAGTAAAGTTTTATGTACACAAGATTAGGGTCACTCCATAAATAGAGAGCTTATTCACTAAACGTTAAATTGAACTCCATTTTAGAAACACTGCAGGTGTGCCTTCTGATTGAGATGTGTCTGTGACACATATGCGGTTATCTCCATGCAAGACATTCTCAATACAAAATGTTAATTAAACAAATAAATCGATCCTGGAAACTACTCTAACTGCAATTCGCAAGTCAGAGTTTAGTGGATGGACCGCGCAGTGTGTGGGTGAGCAAATTGCCGTGTACACATAATTCACATTTATACACATAAACATACAAAACTTCAGTGTGCATGTGTATATAAATTTAAACAAACAAAAAAAATAAAAAAAATTGCAAATGTGTGTGTGTATATATATATATATATATACACACACACACACACACACACACACACACACACACTACACTGCTTTGTTTTACTGTACCATTAAAACAATTAGTTTTCAGCATAAAATACAATATTGTTGAGCTATGTTGGACTATGACATGGTTTTTTTTTTTACACCCCCTTATCTTTTCCTGATTATAAATATATCCACACCCAGCATAAAACCACATGCAAAGTTATTTAATGTGAAAATTCCAAAATAAAATGTCACATTTAAGGCTAGAGTAGCAGAATATGAAACATAGATTAATTGAGAGAATTTTTCCAGTTTGATTACTTTGAACTTGAATTTCGAATGCTCACTCCAGTAAGTGTCCCTGATGGCAAGGCTGTCAAGACAACTAATGGTCAATGCTAAACTGCCATTCAGGACACAGACACAATGAGATCAGATATACACAGTGCTTTACCTTGACCCCAGCCCTGAGCTCTCCTGTGCAGGTGGAATTAGAAGAACAAGTACGTTTGCTGCAGGTTTCATTACATTCTATATAGAACTGTCACCCCAGTGGGAGGAACTCACAAGAATAAACCAGGAAGTGTCATAGAAAACAGAAGTCGTTATCTGGACTGGTATTTCCTGCTTAACTTGCAAGTTATTAGGGGCGATCACTTATAATTGAGCAATTTATGGGACAAACAACACAGTTAAAGTGATCTGTGGGTTTATAAAAAAAAAAAAAATTAAAAATGTATTTTTGTTAATTAAAAACAAAACAAAAAAATGACTCACTCACTGAAACTAACAATAAAAGTCCAAAGTTCAGGGTACTGCTCATGCTCGCCACTAGGGGGGGCTATGTATTAGCAATTCAAATTGTATAATTAATCTGCTCTGCAAATTAATTCATGATTTTTTTTTTTGTAAATAAAGGAATTGTAGTTGATCATTTGTAAAGCAGCTCCATAAGAATTTTTCACATAGTTGGATATTAGAAAAAAAACAAAAACCTATGAATTTATATGGAGAATATTTTACAATAAGGATAATATTGTAGCTTAATCTTCTTTAAACTGATGGACTGGACAAAAAAATAAGAATTCCTATGCTCAGCTGTATGAGGGAGATCATTTATCCAAGTATGAATCAAGGCAGAGGGGCATTGGTTGATTTTTGTTCCCGCAGAATATGAATTCTACAAACTGGAGCACTTTTTGCAGAATCGGTTGGGAACGCGCATGCATAATTACCAACGAGTAATTTGGTTCTTTCCTTTTAACAAAACAGTCCTGCGTATTATATACATAAAACGAAAACAAATGCTGACAGGGTTATACACTAGAGCAGGAGTGCCCAAAATGTAGATACCAAGGTGTTTTAAAACTACAGCTTCCATGATGCTTTGCAATTCTATAGGCATTCCAAAGGCATCAAAGCATCAGGGGGGTTGTAATTCTACAAATATCTGGGAATGTACCTTTTGGGCAGCCCTGCACTAAAGTGAGGATTTAAAGTGAATTTAAATTTCAAATTTAAAGGAACACTATAGTCTTAGGAATGCCAATGTGTATTGCTAGCAATATAGTTCCCTGCTGGCCGTTTAGGTAACCGGCCCCTACCTGCAGGGAGGAAAAAAGTAATCTTTCAATTGTTTAGTAGATAACTCACTTATTTGGTATAGAAGCAAAAAATAGTTAGAGAAACCCAACAGAGTGGAAGTTTCACTACGAGATTACTATAAATGGGTAGAAACCACTTCAGTATGATAAAAACATAGAACTTCATTGATTAAGATTAAAAAGGAAAAAACGTCTACAAACGTGAACAAACTAGTGTGGCTAGTGGGCTGAAAATATTGTAACAGATGTTCTTCGACAAAAAAAGGGAATCAACCACTGTTAGATATGAGGTTAGTAAAGAACTAGTTAGTACATTTAGATCAGATGGAAGAGGAGTGTCAAATGAAAAATGGACACACTGTGTCTAGGCAACGTTACCGCAATATATCAGATAGATTGATACAAAATATTATGTAAGAGCTCTTGTTTAGGAGAGGTTGAAATTAAGTAATCAATTTACTCATGTGGTAGTTTTCAGGGAGTAAGTATAGATGCAGTTATATAAAAGATATACATGTTAAATAAACCACTTGAGCCATAATGGCATAATTAGATGGATACTTAAAAAGGAGTAATGATACGGCAGCGCTAAGTTAGATGAACAGAACGTCAATATGTACTCTGCCTGTGACTCCTAATAAAATTAGATTTTTAATAAATCTGAATGCTAGATAAACTAATAACTCCCTTGAACTGCTTCGAGGCAGTTCCCAGTACCCACTACATAGCCCTTTCTTAAAGCTGAAATAGCCAAACAACCAAGCCACACCATGAAACAAACTAAGTGCACATCAGTGAATAGTGCTCTGGAGTGCCATCAACTCGACGCGTGTTTCGGCGCAGATCGCGCCTTTCTCTCTTGACACACAATCACATACATAAACACACATACGGTAATCAGAACACACAGTCACACACATAATCACAGACATACACAAACTCAATCACATATAATTAGCTGTACACACACAATCATCACATACATACATACATTTAATAAGAGGTCCACCCAACCTTCCTACCTCTGGGAGGGCTGGGATCTCTGTGCTCTTCTTGCACAGGTCCCTTGCGTGCACTGTAATGACACAGATGCCGGGATGACTTCATATCCCAGCCACCGGCTCACTGCAGGTCAGACACAGTTATACACATATACTGTCAAATACAGCCACATGCACACAGTCCTAGGTACGTAGTCACTCGCACACAGTCAAACACAGAGTTACAGGCAGTAGCACGCATAATTACAGGCAGACTGTAACACAGTTACAGGCAGCATCACACAGTCACAGGCAGACAGTCACACACACAGTCACAGCCAGACATTCACACACACAATTACAGGCAGTCACACACTCAGTCACAGGTCGACAGTTACACACATAGTTTTATACGCAGTCACAGGAAGACAGTAAAACATACTGTCACAGTCATAGGCAGACAGTCAAACACACTGTCGCAGGCAGACAGTCACACACACATCATAGGCAGAACACACAGTCACAGACAGTCACACACACAGCCACAGGCAGGTTCACACACAGTTACAAGCAGACACAATCATGGTTACACACACACCGCACTCATACAGTCACAGACAGACACAATCACAGTTACACACACACAGCACATATACAGTCACAGGCAGTCACACACAGACACAGTCACAGACAAACATAATCATAGTTACACACAGCACACACTCTCTCTCATTTACTGGAGAAGGAGTGGAGTCATTGAAGTCCCTGGTGTGCAGTTGTTGGGGAAGCAGGGACTTCTTCCTGCTTCCCCTCTGTGTGCAGAAGTCGGTGGATGTCCTCTTTAGCTCCGCCCTGCTGTCAATTAGGCTCCCCCCACAGCAAATTTGCTCCACCCTCAGCTCTTCAGGAAGTTCTCCTGCTCCTTGCCCCTGCTTGTGAGCTGTGTCGGCTGCCCGGTGCCCCTACTACTATGGCGCCCTATGCAGCCATACAGCTCACACCTCCCCAAGGCCTGCTCTGGTGGCACCCGGTGCGGACCGCCCCCCCTCCTTAGTACGCACTGTATTGCAGCACTAAGACATCCACTAGAGGCACTTCCTGCTGTTTATGCTAGAGCTAGATTTATCTTTCAAAAACGTGAGTAGGACGCTGTTTATACTAGAGCTAGTTTTTAGCTCTCAAAAACGTGAGTGGGACCATATAGACCTCTTTTATCGGCTGCTACCTATTTGGCTTTTATTGCACTATTAGATTTTCTTTTCTCTTTCATACGGATCCCACAAATCCCTTGATCCCAATACTCCATAGACATCTCTACCTCAGATAGAACTGTGATTGTTCTCTCATCCAAAGGTTTTACTGCATTATTTTTGGACTGTTCTTTTTTATATTATATATATATATATATATATATATATATACACACACACACCTATTATTGTTTTCTCTCTGTATTATATGTCATTGTTTATGTCTATATTACGACTTATATTTCATTTTATATATTATCTATGTGGCACCACCTTTCTCTCCTTCCTTACTTCCTGCTTGCTAGGCGACTTTGGGTCTCCTAACTGACGCTGGGCATTCTCACGCTCAGCATAGGGATGTCCAGGTTCAGTTAAATCCCCATAGTCCAAGCTCAGTAATGCGCTCGACAGGGGTGGGGTTACATTGGAGCAGGCGGGGCACTGGCCTAGGACATCCATGCTGGAAGCAGGTGAGTAAATAAAGGGTTTTTAACCCATTATTGGCTGGGGGCGTGTGGGAGGAGGGAAGCAGAGAGAGCAATAGTGTTAGGACTACATGCTAATATTCCTATCACTATAGTATCCCTTTAAACCCTGCAATGAAAATGGCGTTCTGGAGAATAGCAATGTTTTCAGATGCAGAGTTAAAATAAGGGGGTGCTCTAAGTATGCTGTTCTAAACTTACTACATCAAATTGTAATTGCATTGTTCTTTCATTGAAGCGCCATTTTGCAGTTTTTTTTTTTATTGTTTAATTCTAGAAACTGTCATCTAGCATTTTTTTTTACGTAACACTAAAAAGCACAAAGATGTGATTTATATCCAGAAAAACAAGGTGGACGTGACGTCTCCTGCTCTCAGGGCATACATGTGGCAGAGGGCCCTTCCCAATAGCTGGCTAAAGCCTACCATCACTGCCCCCCCTTTTAATAACATCATTCATTGCATTTCAATCCAAAGATTAACTAGGTCATTTTCCAAAGTGAGAATTTAAAGTGAATTCCAAATTTAAGGCCAGAGTAGCCGAGCTGGAAGCATAGCTGACTTTGAGAAGTTTTCCAGTTCGGCTATTTTGATCTTGAATTTTTAATTTGGCAGATAACTGTGTAACCTATCAACATGGGGTTTTTTTTCCCACTCTTGTCTTTACAAGAGTCGTTTCATTCCACTTATTGACAATTAAAGGGTGTGTCTAAAGGTACTGACCTGTATTCTAACAACAATATAAAGAGAAATACAATAGACAACATTATGTGGGACACTTATATCAGCTGTTTATTCTAAGCCTTTCACTTTTTAGCACAAACATATTTCATAGTGCTGTACTATTAGAGGGGCACTCTAAGCAACATGACCAGTATAGTGTGGTTACCGTACAAACAGCTAGTGGGTGCCTCTCTCCAACCGCACTGGCTCTTGCGTGCTAATAGGCTCATAGAGGTGTGGCCTTCCACCTTATCCAGCCTGAGCTGGAATCATAGGTTGAGTGTGCCGGGCTAATCTGCCCCCGTGGTGCAGAAGGAAAAAAAACCCTACCCAGAAGTTAAAAAGCCCTTCAGTCACTTGCCTGGGTCTAGTGCCAAAGTCTAACGTCAGCAGGCGGTGGGGACCTAAAGCACATGCAAGGCAATTGCCACGCTCGCATTAGTACTTCCCCCCCATAGGAAAGCATTATACAAAGCAGGATGTCCTCATGCATAGTGTGAGGAGGTCCAGCGTCAGTTAGGTGACCAAAAGTCGCCTAACGACATGGAAGTCCCTCTAGTGGCTGTCTGGTAGACAGCCATTTGAGGTGAAGTAAACCCACAAAGGTAATTTTTGCAGTGCCTATAGTGTCCCAACCCAGTTAAAAGATATAGAGACTAATCAGAGACCTTGTCTGTATATTTCCTACCCTGACTTTCTTTAGACACTGGGCAGGCCGTCTAGAGGTGTCAACCACTCCCCCGACATCACCAGTGACACTGCCGTGAATAAGCTCAATCTCTGGAGGATTCTCCATAGACTTCAATGCTTTATTCTTGCGCATGCATTATATTTCAGCAGTGATGTTGGTGCTTAACCCCTTAAGGACCGAGGACGGTTCAGGACCGTCATCGGCATTTTTGCGTTGCCGACCGATGACGGTCCTGAACCGTCCAAACGGTCTGGGGCTACTTACCTGATCGCCGTCGTTCCCCCGGCGGCGATCAGTGTTCCTCCGGTTGTGGGGAGACTGCCTGCAGCCAAGACAGTCTCCCCACGGCAGATTAGGACCCCTGTGGCCATGTGATCGCTTAACACAGCGATCACATGGTCACAATAGGTGTCCATGTGTCTGCCTGCAGGGGGACTGCCTGTGCTGACAGGCAGTCTCCCTGCAACTGTAAAATCAAAAAAAAAATTAAAGTTAATGGTAATAAAAAAAATAATAATAATTATATATGTATAAATATGATATATAGACATATATTATATCTATATAATATATGTCTATATATCATATATATATAATGTCATACTAAGTGTATTTTTATATTAATATGTACTTATATTAATATAAAAATACACTTATAATTAAATTACACACGTATATATATAATATATATAATAACTATATATATTGTATATATATATTATTATAAAATATAAATAATAAGTAATTTAAATTAAATAATTTTTTTTTTAAATAATAATAAAAATTTTAAAAAAAATTATATAGCTATATGAAATTTTATTCTAACTGTATTTTAAAATTAATATATATATATTTATATCAAAATACACTTAGAATGAATTTGTATATATATCTATGTATATAAAAATAAATAAAAATAATAAGAAATATACATACGTCCATATACAAAATTACATAAATAATTATATAAATATACACGTAGACTTCAAATATATAAATATGCATATATATTTAAATTCTACGTGCGTATTTATGTAATATTTTTACATAATTCAGTAATTTTATTGATTGCAATTTGAGGGACCTGCCTGCCAACCCAGGCCGAAATTCCAGAGAATTTAATTTGCTAGCACTGTATTTTACCCTGTAACGTTCTACGACACCCTAAAACCTGTACATGGGGGGTACTGTTTTACTCGGGAGACTTCGCTGAACACAAATATTAGTGATTCACAACAGTAAAACATATCACAGCGATGATATTGTCAGTGAAAGTTACTTTTTTGCATTTTTCACACACAAACAGCACTTTTACTGATGATATAATTGTTGTGATACGTTTTCCAGTTTTAAAACACTAATATTTGTGTTCAGCGATGTCTCCCAAGTAAAACAGTACCCCCCATGTACAGGTTTTATAGCATTTTTGAAAGTTACAAGGTCAAATATATGGGTCAAATATTTTTACATTGAAAATGGCCAGGTTGGTTACGTTGCCTTTGAGAGCGTATGGTAGCCCAGGAATGAGAATTACCCCATGATGGCATACCATTTGCAAAAGAAGACAACCCAAGGTATTGCAAATGGGGTATGTCCAGTCTTTTTTAGTAACCACTTGGTCACAAACACTGG